GCGGGCGGGCTTAACATAATGACGACAGAGTTGCGACCGTCAGAGCAAGCTCAGACATATTCGGTTTGAAGTCGTTCGTCCTCGGATGCGGAGTTGTTCCAAAAAATCTGTGGCGAATCAATCAACTTGTCATTTTTGCCGCGCTCGTGTGGACGCATCGAGTATAAATGATTTTTTCTGTGTCAGCGCGCGCTCTGATCGGTAAAGGTGCACGGACCTCTCCCGAATCATCTCCAGCACTCGGGCTCCGAAGCACCACTACTCCGCCTCCGTTTCCCTCGTAAGCTGATATTAGTATTTAAACATTCTCTATGATATTATTTTTTATTATCTCTTTCTCTTTCATACATACACACATACTGTCTCTTTCTCTCACACATATGTTGGCTAGTTATAAACTCTTTAGACTTTTAATGATTAGGCTAGTGTTTTATTTTTAAAGTTTGTGGGTCATGTAAAAAACAAAAAATCGCTTATTTTGGGGATGGATTCTCCCTTATTTTCAATGTTGACAGGTATATACTGGATACAGTAAAAGTTTAATATATCAACTTGCTCCGCTGACTACGTCACCTTTTTCATTGCTCTGATTGGTTGTAACGCTATCCAATTGCGTTCTAAGAGAAAATGAAAGACAACCGTCTATCTCGCCCCTCGGATTGAACCCTGTCAATGATAAGTTCCCAGATCCAACATCTTGATGTAGGTCTGGCATGCCAGGCTAACATGTAATACTTTTCAATCCCAATGAGAACTTTAGGAGAGGATGTTGTGGAGTGAAGAAGCGCAAACACTTTGCATGTCTACATGCTTTAGAAAGCCCATTCTGATTTTGCCCCTCATCTAAAATGCAGTGCAGGGTAATGCACTTGGAATTTCAGGCATGTGAGAAATGATTGCTGATGCATTCACGGTCTATGCGAGTTGTGTCGTTTTGCTACCACAGTAGAAGCTTGTGGTCTCGCTTTGCTTGCCATTTTTTCGAAACATTATTTTTTTCCTGTTCCTGTGTGGTTTCTGCTACTGATTACGTCAATTATCCACAGAGAGACTGACCAGTGAGTGATTCAGTTCGGATGGCATTCCCCTATAGTTTGGCCCTCAATGGCATCTCTGTTAAGTCAAGACAGTGACACTGTGGCCCTATGCCTCTGTGTGCATCACACTTGCGTATATGTGTGTGTGTGTGTGTGTGTGTGTTTGAGACAGACAGCTGCTGCCACACTTGGAGGGGCCTCTTCAATTTCGTCCCACCCTGTACTCACTCCCTCTCCCTCCTTATACACAAACACATTCATTTTACTTCTCTTGGAGCTGAAGGACTTTCGGGAAGAGGACTAAATGACCCGCGCTTGAAACTCAGTTGAAGTGTAAGGGAATATTACAAAAGGGTCAATTTGGATGTCTTCAGAATTTAAAGGTGACCAGCTGTGGCCGTCCTGTTGTTCTTTGGGACTCAGTGCATCTCACGTGCGCTCCTCCTTAGATCAGTGTTCATTTGAGAGTCTGGGTTTGTGTGCTTCTGCTGGCTTTCTGACATTAAACAATATGGAACAGGCACTCACAACTGGTGGCTAAACACTACGCTCCCTGAGCTGCATTCTGGAGCCGGGACTCAAGGTAGGATTGACAAATCACCAAAGTAGCATGGCTGGATTGGTGTCATGCTGGAGTGTTATTGTCTGAAATGAAGACATCTTACTTTACTGACAAAGGCAAGTATGTCGGCTAGAGACCCGAGTCGTTAAAGTGAGAAAGAGAATGAGATAGTAATTGCACACATGGAAGAGTGGTGTTTATGGCTCACTCAACCTGGCCACTTTCTTCCTAAAATGAAGACATCTTTCCACTGAAATGAAACAAAGCTGATATTTCTATCCCCTTCAGATTTCTCTGCAGCTGCCAGAAGAAACTGTTTAAATCTATTCCTTGTATTTATTTTTTAAATTTTACCCTGGCCTAGACAGAGTAAAGTTAACTTTTTTAGGGGTCAGTTATAAGATTGTCCAATATTCAACAATGATAATAATTAAATATATACAAATCTAGTTTAAAATGAACGTGCCAAGTAATACTTATATTCATGTTGGTTTCAAATAATGAAAAACGTTTAGACCATTTTTCGATTAAATATTTGAATTAAATGACTCAATAAATGTCATGTGGTACAACTATAAACGCAAAATTTAAAAATGTTCCCTAAATGTTGTTTGCATTTTCAAACCATTTTTCAACTTTTCAGTGTAAAAATGATATATTAATACATTTTTTTTAGTTAGTTGGTTGAATTATCAGATATTTTAAGACACTTACTGACCTTGGCACTCTGCAGGGGTCCTCTAAATGTCCTCTATGTAATTTTGCCTGCATTTTTTTTTCTGTACATAATTTTTTTTCTGTACACCACTTTGATTTGGAGGACAAATGTGTTTTCCAATGTTTAAATAATTATAATATTATCATAACTGTTTCACTGCTCTTATTTTTTCAAAGAAATAATAACAAGAATATTATACTATTAAGATTCTCTTTCTTTTGATGAGTTATGGTATCATGACAGTTCTTGACACCACTTTTTTTTTTCTTTTTTTTTTACTTTATGACACAGAGAAATATTCAAATGAATTTAACTTAAAAAACCTGTTCATCATACAAGGTGTATTCAAGCCATTGTATGGATGAATTGCATTTATGGTTTTAATAAAGTGTTTAAAGTAGATTTTTAAACTATAAATAAATTATTTTGGACCAAAAATAATTTAACTGACACTTAAATTAGTATTTTATTGATTTATTACATTTTCTTATATGTCTTATTTAGTTGCTTTTAAACTTATCAGTGTTCTTCTTGTTTGACTCTGGTTCTGCTGAATGTTCACGCTTCACTGACACAGTTCTCTGGAAGATCTTGTGTTCCGCCTGCGTCGTTGTACCCACGTAAGATGATCCATGTGACAGGTTAGCCGGGGCTGTCTTCTGCTAGTAAACATACACATGCACACACTATCTGTGTAATTTGAGCTGTGAGTGCTTTGTTTTGAAGCGGGGCCTTTGTGTTGGTTTAACTTCAGGAGAGGAAGAAAGCTAAAGATGGTAATTAAATGACTTGTTCTGTCACACACTCCTTCTGACACGCCCCCCCCCCCCCCCCCCTTTATTGTTTAATCCTGATTCTATATTGCAACCAGAATGTTCTGCTCAGAGACTGTTGAGCTTTCCTATCTCAACTTAATATGGGTGACATGGTGCTCGGATGATACTTCACTGGAAAATTTAGGTCACATCACACAATTAGGTCTATCATGCTGATCAGTTGTTGAGTGTCATGTTGTGTGTGTGTTTGGTTTGACGTGGCGGGGCTGTTGCCGTGCAGTGGGGTGATATCCAGAGGGCCAGAGCTTGGCTCTCTAACAAAGAGAACTCTGTGGATGGAAAAACAGCTGAGAGGGGGTGAGAGAGGGGGTAAAGTACAGCATTGTGAATCCCCTCCAAACCTGATGGTAAAAAATAAACAACAACACAGATTGAGCATTCCTGGCAGTCTGGTGGCTTAATTACAGAAGCCAGTGAATTTCTGTCTTTCTCCGGGTACATTTTTTTTAAGAGAGTGTGGTCTGTTGACGTTTAAGGGCATATCTAAGAAAAACTTATTTCATGTATTTCAGAATTTTTCTTATATTGTACTCGGTCGATCAAGCACTTTTTCTGCACCGCTAATTGATTAACTAGTCAAAACACCTTTTGAACTAATTTTCTTTTGCTCCTTTGACTGCCATTTTTAATAATTAAATATACTTTACTTTATTACTATATAAAGCAATCAGTAACTTATTTATTTGACTGAAAGGACTCAATGCGTAATTCAAGAGTAGTATTTTATTAATAATTTATTAAAATTATTTTTTAACTTTATCTAACTTTTTCTCATGGCTGATCATTACCTGCATTCAGCAGAATTATTTATTCTATCCATATTTCTTTGTGAATCACACTTCCGTCTTTTTACACTTCCTTTATTCCCCCCACCTGATGAATTTAACCTCTCCTTCTTGTGATTCCTTTCATTTTCACACAACGTTGCCCTCTTTTGTTTTGTTTCCACCATGTTTTACATCCACCCATCTGATTCATGTAGGCTAGTTCTCAAAGACCATCACTTTTTCACAATATGTGACCTTTTGAACTCTGGTTTATATGTAAAACATGCATTTGTATTTTCCCATCATTTGAAATGAGGGGGAAAAAAACATTTTATCATCACTTAAATGCCTATTTAAGCTGTAATTGTCAATTTCCTCTTTTAGCATAAGTGCTTTGCAAGCTTTTGTGTGGTGTTATATTAAAATATGCCTGCAGAGAGTTTAGTCAGTTTACTGGCTGAGAGTTTAGCCAGTATCTCCAGGCAGAGTTTTGTGTGGATTCTTGCCAGACTGAGTCGGTCAGATCCCACGGTCGCCACTGCATGCGGCTAGATCAACAGGATCAGGTGTCACAAAAAGACCTATAATGACTTTTAGGACTGAAGCATTTCACAATGCTTTTCCTGCAGTTAGTTGGTGTTCATTTGGTACAGTTCTCATATTATAAATTTGCTTAAAAACACGCTTATTCTAGAGAGACCAGTCTGAAGAACTGTAGATTTGTACTGTAGTTTGTAGATGGTGGATATGTTAAACAGTCTATAAACTCCCTGTTGATCTGTTTGATACATGTATGGACAGTAGGAGGAGGAAACAAAACAAAAGAGTGGTGAAAATCACAAAGTTCAATATGGCCACTGTAAAATGAAAGTTATGAGTTAAAATAGCCTTTTTGATTTACAGTTATGGATTTAGCAGACCCGTTTATCTGAAACGTTACTAGGATGGCTGTTGATTGAACTGACTTGCCTCAATGGTACATATTAGTGAAATCAGTCAGGAGAATCATTCAATGGCTTCTCCATCCAGACATGTTAGTACATGCAGCGTAATTGAAATGGTTCTCTTCTCTCCTTTCAGGCATGGAAGAAGCGATGGTTTGTTCTGCGCAGTGGGAGGCTGACAGGAGACCCAGACGTGCTGGAATATTACAAGAATGACCATGCCAAGAAGCCCATCCGCGTGATCGATCTGAACCTGTGCGAGCAGGTGGACGCCGGTCTTACCTTCAACAAGAAGGACCTGGAGCACAGCTTCATCTTTGACATCAAGACTATCGACCGGATCTTTTACCTGGTGGCAGACACTGAAGAGGAGATGAACAAGTGGGTGCGCTGCATCTGTGATATCTGTGGCTTCAACCCCACTGATACGGAAGGTAAATCATGCCAAATGCAAACACACATCAGAGATATCTAGGGATTAGAATTATGAGGATTTTAATAATGATTTCAAACAGTTTTATTTAACAATTCTTTTGTACTTTTGAGGAAGATATGTATATACAACATGACATCATGACTTTTGCGTAAACAAACATGCTTTCAAGTCAAGTGGTGTGTTATCTATACACATTTTCAGCTATTCGCGTGTATGCGTGTATGTCTACGCCGTTAAATGTCCGAGTGATTCCGCGTGTATGTACTTGCCGTTAAATGTCCGAGCGAAACGAAGCACAATGGTATTGGTATAACCCCAGTGATGGGTAGGTTTAGTGATGGGGTTGGGGTAGGTCCTATATTTATACAGTAATGTAACGTTAAGTCAACGGCGTTCATAAACACACTGAAAAGCGATTATGCGTGTTGATAGCACGCCAAAAATGGAAATACAAATTGGCGTGTCATACATACGCCATTTCATGAGATCAGTCTGGTATATATATATATATGAAGAGTTCAGATGCAAAAGCCTCTAAGTGCCATTTGAAATTTTCTTCTAAAATGATCATTTTTATCAAGCTTGTATATTTAAGTTCAGTAATTTCACTTAAATGGCAATGAAGATTACCTATTAATTGTCATTTAAGTGAAATTACTGAACTTAAATATACAAGATTGATAAAAATGGTCATTTTAGAAGAAAATTTCAAATGGCATTTAGAGGCTTTTGCATCTGAACTCTTCATATATATATATATATATATATATATATATAAATATATATAAAACTGCTAACTGCAAACTATTGCAAGTTTTGCTGTAAGAAACATATCTGGACTGTAGACTGGCAGTCAAGCACATTCACTTTACGGCGTAGAGTGTCTGAGAAATCATTCTCTTGTAGCACATGTAGAAATGTGGCCATTGTCCTACTTCCCAGGAAAATGTCTTGAAGGCAGTATTGTCTCTGCCCAGTCCCAACATAGGCCTTCATCTCTATGGTGCCTTCACACATATGCACACAAGTCACCCATGCTGTTTGTACTGATGCACCCCCATACCATGACAGATGTTTGTTTTTGCACCAGTTGCTGATGAAAGTCTGGATGGTCCCTTTCGTATTTGGGACTGAGAACTCAATGTCAGTTTTTCGTCAGTGAGAGGACTCTGATTGGCTGTTCAGTTCAGTGAATGAGTACACAAGAATAATAACAAAACAGTGAACGGTGAAAATGTTAATAATAACATGAGCCGAGTGGGAAAGTTGTATTTCTTGATGCAGCGGCTGACTGTTAAGTGACCATGTTTCTACAAAGTACTCCTTAGCCCATGTGGGTATTTTTTTTTTTAAAGTTGCTGTATGTAACTATACATATGGGGTTCTAGTGGTTAATAAACAAAACTGCATGTGTCTTACAGAAGAGCATTGTAGCCGGTGTTACTTCTCTCTGTTTGTCTATGACGAGTCACGCAGGTACTTCGCAGCAGTGCCCACCTTACCCACGTTTATATTCAGACTAAAATAGTCTGAATATAAACACTTATTATCTGTACTGTAGTGATTCAGGATAAGACAAAAACACGGTTTGTAAAATGGATTCATGATGTACTCTTGTAAATTTTGAACACAAATTTACTTAGTGCAGCTTTAACAGTAGCATGATGGGTTCATCTTTTCACTTTTTTTTTGAGTGTGTGGTTGCAGAAATCAAAATCTAAATTTGTGAATATTGACAAAATACAATTAATTTGGCCAGTGAAAATAACTAATAATATTTTTAAAAAGAAAAATCTTATTGATTGCACTCCTAGGCCCTTCTGGCATAATGGTCATTAACCTTAATGCTGATCGAAATCGAATTGCCAAAGCCTGAAGTGTCCCCCTAAAATTGATTCATTGTAGCACCTCAGGTCTCCATCAGCTCAGCTGTATTGATCTCAGATGCTGTCAGTTTACAGTGGCCTTCTTTAGAAGTGATTTTTTTGAATGCTGTTGTTGTAAATTATGCTCTTGTTGGTTTTCTACTAAGGAAGTGCTAATATTTTAGCTACTGGTTCAGAAAACATTTGTGGATGTACATCTGTCCTTCACCGTTTTGTGAACTTCTACTTGTTTCAAGGATAGAGTCGAGAGAAGACAGGACATTTTGGACAGAAGGAGACACAAGTGTAACGATACATAAAAATAAATTCTATGATAAAAGCGATAGAATTATTGCCCTCAACTATGTCTGTTTGGTGAGCATTATTTGTGCCTGTGCTCTTCCTTTTGAAGTCTGAATTTTTAAAGCTTTCTGTCAGGGTGAGTCTTTATGCAAATTGGAAATACTTTTATATATAACAAACACGATTAATGTAACCATTTTAAAGAAAATGGGATGTTTTGCTAGGTTATGTTTTTTGGCGCTGCCATCTTGTAGTACCATAGAGACCAGAGTGTAACGTCACAGGGTTGGTTGTCTAAGCTGATGAAAAGAGATATAGTAAGTTTTTCAAGTGAAAAAACTTTGCACCATATACACCCAGCTTAATAAGCATTTCTTTACTTTTTGAACACTCTGTTGTTCTCAAATGGAGGAAGACAAACTTGAAAGGACTGTTGAGCACATTGTAAAAACATTTTTTTTTAATGATTTAAAACAAATTTTCACATCGTTTGCCAAATCACATACAGTGGGGAGAACAAGTATTTGATACACTGCCGATTTTACAAAGCATGAAGAAGTCTGTAATTATATCATAGCAACTGTGAGTGACAGAATCTAAAACAGAAATCCAGAAAATAACATTGTATTATTTTTAAGTAATTCATTTGTATTTTATTGCATGACATAAGCATTTGATACATCAGAAAAGCAGACCTTAATATTTGGTACAGAAACCTTTTTTTGCAATTACAGAGATCATTTGTTTCCTGTAGTTCTTGACCAGGTTTGCACTCACTGCAGCTGGGATTTTGGACCACTCCTCCATACAGACCTTCTCCAGATCCTTCAGGTATCAGGGCTGTCGCTTGGCATTTGGCAATACAGAATTTTCAACTCTCTCCAAAGATCTTCTATTGGGTTCAGCTCTGGAGACTAGCTAGGCCACTCCAGAACCTTGAGATGCTTCTTACGGGTCGTTGCCATGCTGGAAGACCCAACCACGACCCATCTTCAATGCTTTCACTGAGGTAAAGAGGTTGCGATACATGGCCCCATCCATCCTCCCCTCAATGCGGTTCATTCGTCCTGTCCCCTTTGCAGAAATCATCCCAAAGAATGTTTTGAATGAAGTTTCCACCTCCATGCTTCACGGTTGGGATGGTATTCTTGGGGTTGTGCTTATCCTTCTTCCTCCAAACATGGCAAGTGGAGTTTAGACCGAAAAGCTCTATTTTTGTCTCATCAGACCACATGACCTTCTCCCATTCCTCCTCTGGATCATCCAGATGGTCATTGGCAAACTTCAGATGGGCCTGGACATGCGCTGGCTTGAGCAGGGGAACCTTGCATGCGCTGCAGGATTTTAATCCATGACGGCGTGGTGTTACTAATGTTTTTTTTTTTTTTTTTTTGAGACTGTGGTCCCAGCTCTCAGCTGGCCATTGGCTATTGATCGGGTCCTGCCGTGTAGTTCTGGGCTGATCCCTGACCTTCCTCACGAGGTGAGATGTTGCATGGAGCCCCAGACCGAGAAAGATTGACCATCATCTTGAACTTCTTCCATTTTCTAATGATTGTGCCACCTGTTGTTGCCTTCTCACCAAGCTGCTTGCCTATTGTCCTGTAGCCCATCCCAGCCTTGTGCAGGTCTACAATTTGATCCCTGATGTCCTTACACAGCTCTCTGGTCTGGTCTGCTTAAGATCGGCTCGTGCTGCATTGGTCCAAACTGATAAACGGTCTGTCAATCACACAATAACAAGTCAAGTCAAATTCGTTCCACTTACATTATATTTGCCATTTGATGTTGGACAATGTTTTGGTCACACCAGTGTCTCTTACATTATGAGTGTGCTTGCCACGCACCTACATTTGAAATAACAAAATTTTGGTCTGCAGGAAAAATGGTCCAACGAACTGTCCAACAACGAAAAAATGCCTACTGAAAACCGAACCGAAAGCCGAACGGTTCAATACGAATACGTGCATCATTACACCCATAATATATACAGTATATACTTAAATAATGTTGAAAATGTGAGGCACATGCTCTTTTTTGCTATATTGATAATATGTCATATCAAGAAATGCCCAAAAAGTTGCAGATATTTAATTTGGTCTATTTTGAGACACACAGGGTTTGCCAATATTAGCCACCAACACTAAACAGGGTACTGAGATTGCAAATATTTAGGGGGGGTTTCCAGGGCTTGGATGATTCAGCAGCTAGCCTGACAAACAAGAGCGGGAGGGGGAGAAGAATGAGGGAAGAAGGAAAATGGGAAAAAAAAGTTAAGAGACAGAAAGAGACAAAGTGGCCCTGACAGCCTTGAGCTGCCTGCACTTAGAGAGAGTCAAATCCAACCCAGTGAGTGGGTGTGTGTGGGTGTCAATGTGTGTGTGCGCACAAGTGGTGTGTTTGTGTGCGTTTACTGAGACTTGTACAAAAACATGCACAACCACCCTGTCAGCTGCACTCCAATGACCTTGAGAGTAGGCTGTTCAAAGAGAGATGGAAATAAAAATAAGAAGTCAGAGATAAAGAAAAACTCTTTTTATAAGAACAGACAAAAAGCTTCACAAGTTATCCTAGATGGCACATAAAAACTGAGACTCCATCATGGATTAGTGGCGCTTTCTCATTAGCGTCTTGTATTCAGGGTTCCTCTCTACGCAGTTCGCCACGTTCACATGGCCTGTGTAGGATGACAGCCTTAACCTTTATCAGTTCCTTCACAAAAACATGTAGTTCTTCTCTGCTCTCGATTTTAATCTTATCTTCAATATACCATATCTAAATATGTGGGCATAATTCTCTCGAATGGCCCATATAACCTATTTGACTAGGACTTGTTTCCAGGTATGACTAAAAATGTGCTTTTCACTTTCATTTATATTTTGATTTTATTACCTAAAGGATTATTAGGAACATCTGTTCAATTTCACATTAATGCAATTGACCCAATTCTCACGCCACACCCCCATTTTCTCATGCTGAAGTGTCAACCCAGTTGGCCAAATGCTTAAAAATGAGCTTATCTATAGATCTACCAGTTGAGCCACTTGTGATCGACTAGTTATGTGGCAAATTAGTTAAAATATCCTGTAATCTAGAGCGAGCGTGCATACGAGACAGATGCTATGCTCAAAACCACGTGCGCGCACAACAAAGAGGTAAGCGATCGAGAGACCTTGCGTGTGCAGACAGCCCCCCACCCCATTACTTTTTTTTTTCAATAAGTAAACCCTTTATTGTAAGTAACAATAACATGCATAAACAATATTCTCTCAAAACTACAAACATGTACATACATGTTGCTCACATATTATGGTACCCCTGTTTGTGCTAAATATTTCACCTTTGTCATTAATGTTTATAAGCAACTAAAAAAAGGACAAATATCAGGACATTTCAAAACACCTCAAAGACCCCAAAAACACTTTATACCCCAGAGGGTTAATGTCATATAAAACTTGGTAACAAATGTCTCCATATTTTTCAGTTGAATTTGTAATTATGATATATTCTATAAATATTCCAAAAAACAGAAGGCATTATATTATATATATATATATATATGTATATATATATATATATACAGTATATACATATATACTCAACCACACATCTGAGTTTCATTTGATCTTTTTGCACGTAGCTCACCAGATGTCAGCCCGTGGTGACACTTTCACAATACTAATCTTTTTTGTTACAGGAATGTTTTTAGCAAAAGCTTTTGATTAAAGCAGTGTTATCCTTAGTTTGATCTAATCTTAAGTGCATCTCAAAGCTTGTGATCTCCTAAAGTGTAAAGCCCAATGTTAATCTCTCCCCTCTGTTCTTTCTAAAGACTCTACAAAGGTCTCTCACCAAGTAAATGTTCCAGGGGGTCTGGTGGTGGATATGGCCCCTAGTGGAGGGCCAGGAGGAGCCTTGGGGGCTTCTGCACTGGCCAACCTGCCTCCTCCCTACCAGCCTGTCAGCATTAGACCCCACGGGTCCTCTTCCAGTATGGATGAGCCTCAGGACTACCTTTGGCTACTTAACTGTGAGAGCAAGAAACCTGAGCCTAACAGGTAAGACTGGAAACACATCACATTGCATCACAGATGTGTATTGGTTATTTTAGAATGCGGCTCCTCCAATAATTTGTAATGTAGGTCTGTTACTGTTTTGAGTTTGTTTTTAAACCAAGTGTTATGTAATGTGAATGCCGCCCACCTCTACTAAGAGGTTTCTTGGTCCATTCAGGTGCTATGGGTGAAAATCTGGATATAAGGGGCTCATTGTGTGTATTTGTGTGTGGTGTGTAGTCCAGTCGCTCCTCTTTCTCTAGGGGAGGAGGAGCAGGAATACCTGCTTTTGGAGGAGTGTGAGAGCCGGAGCGCTGCTCCTGACAGTCAGTGAGTGAAGAGCATCAGTGTGAAGAATACACTACTAAACCACACATATTTGGCCAGCAGCCTGCATACTTATTATAATAAGTTACTAAAAAAAATATTTTCCTGAGCAAAAAAGGTTGACATTTGTGTATGCATAGTTTTAACTGGGACTTGTGTGAAATGTGATGTGCATGGTTGTGTTTGGCACTAACCTTGCCAGTTCTAGCTGTATATCTAGAAGCTTCAGAGTTTCCGCTTGAAAAAAAAAGGTGAGGTTTCGTTTTACGGACATTTTGCTATGCCGGTCAAATATTGCCTCTTAGCCTGCCTCATGTTTTCCTCAACTTGACTATGTAACTTAAAAAATGACATAATCAGGCCTATCTTTCAAATAGACGAAAAAAAACAACAACAAAAAAAAACAACAACATGAATGCCCGATTTTTTACTATGGTTTCACACACATTCACTTTTTGAAACATTGAGGCACGAATGTACCTAATACAAATAAATAAAACACTTCCAGTTAACTAGCAGATCATTCATTTAGTTCGCTATTAAATAAGAGATCTAGAGATCAAATATGAGAAACCATATGACACGTTTCCACTCGGAGGAAAAACACTCGACTGTACCAGTCGTTTTTATATTATTAATTTACTACAAGTATGCTGCTAGTTCAGGCACACATTTATATTCCAGTTTGTTCTTTGCAATGTTAATAATATTGTACGTTAATTATTTATGGGTCATTAAAGCAAAGTATTTAGTGTCACACACACACACAAAAGAATCAGATAATCACTTTCGCATCGAATCGCATCCCGAATGGAATCGTGAGGTGCCTAGAGATTCCCACCCATACATTTTAGGCCTATTTATTAAATTCATATTGTGTCATTATTACGCAATTTGTAATCGAACAATTTGACCAGAGAGATTTAATTTTGTCGGACATTACATTTTTTTCCCGATTACCGGACAACAGAAACCCTGACTTCGAAGTACTTGATAACAATTGCTTAAGCGATTGGTTAAACCATCTGTGGTAAAATATTGTGTAATGATCGTTAAACTGGATATTTGACCATTGTCCCTGGTCACTGGCAATAGTCTGTGGCACTCGACTAGTTTGGTCTTCAATGATACTGTTGTCTATACTATTATAATACTAATGCATTTAGTAGTTGTTTAGCGTTGGTTTTGCTGTTCTTCATGGCCTGTACAGATGCCACAGTGGTGTTAGATGCTGCACTGCCATCTATCGCTGTGGATTAGCATGATCGTCTCTGAGTTTTATGTTAATTACACTGATAGTAGTGAGTTTTAGAGAGTGTTCTGTTCTATAATTAATTCCCTTTACCTGTCCAACAAAAAATAATTAACATGGGCATCACTGCTTTGGATTTTCGTCTTTCCCAGTCTTTCTTTATTTTGAATGAGTGTGATTTATTCTTTTCAACATTTAGTGAAACAGCAGGTCGCACCATTTCGTCATTGCAATACGTTGAGGGGGTGGTCTACAACATACATAATTATTTAGCAAGTGTTTGTAGGTGACAGTCTTTCTCACTTGAATATACACCATTCAAGTGACTCATCACAAAAATAAATTTTTATTTTTTGTGTAAACTTTTTTTTAATTTAGCACCAAACTATTGAATGCATCATTAAATGCCAAGTTGTTGTTTAATAAGTTGCATAATATAGTCACCTTGTCATTATTTCAAAATAAAACCATTTTAGGATGTATCTATTATGCAGTAATGGCCGTCTGACTGTACATTATACATTTTAAATGCCTAGTTACTTCAAACTGAGATTTGTATATTGAAGTTAAGTCTAATGTGAATTGCTATTTTCATAACGAAGAAAGTTATTTTCAGGCAGCATGTTGACATGAATAGCGTGGTATGTGTTTGATGAGGTGTTTTCATCTTTGCAAGTTTGTTGTAATATATATTCAGTTTGTGTTATTTTACTGACAGTCGGTATCTTTGCAGGGCCCATGGCGACTGCTCCAAGTCTACCTCTTCTGAACCCGACTGTAATGACAACATCCCTTCCCACTACACGCCCACCTCCACCTTTTCTAAGCACGCCTCGATCAATGGTTTCTTTCCTACCCAGCATACCCTCTATGATTCTCCTCCTTCGCGCGGGCAGTCGTCGTCGGCCGACTCGCAGGGCCCGTACCACCTGCCCCGAACTTACTCTCAGGACACTGTGCTGCTGCCGCCGAAGTTGGCATCCTCCCCTCCCGCTCCTGACAGTGAGCCTGTTGAACTATATGTCTTTAACACACCTGGTCGTAAACCCTCTTTAGAGGCCCAGTTACGGAACTTGTCGGTCAGCTATGATATTCCACCCACACCTGGAAGCAACTGCACCTACCAGGTTCCCCGTACAGTCGGGGTGGAGGCTGTTTCAGGGGCCTCAGACGTGGTACCCCCCCCTCGCCCGCCCAAGCCTTCACTGACTACTGGATCAGTCCCACCTGAGCGGTCGCCCACGGAAACGTATGCAGTGCCACGGTCAGTGTCTGAGACGGATGGGAATTACTGTGTGCCGTCTAGTGCGGGAGGGAACAAAGCACTAAGAAGCAACACCATTGGTACAATGGATTCTTCACGCCTGCGTATAGGTGAGGTGATATGAAAAGGTTAAACCAAATGTTCAGTAACAATATAAGCTACAAATCTACAGAAGTCTTAATTATGATTGCAAAACTTTGGCTTCTAGATAACGTGCATATGTGTAACAGCAGTATATTAAATACTGACTCCATGCAGAACTTTATAATGGTTGTGAGTAAATGGAGTAGGTTTTTTAAATAAATAAACACTTATTACAATAAATACTTGTTTCAATACATTTCTGTTTGAAATAAATGTTGTTCCATTGAACTCTCCATTAAAGAATCCCAAAAAAATCAGTTTCCACTAAAATATTAAGTATCACTTAATTAAATTAATAGTAATATGAAATGTTCCAGCATATTAGAGAATGGTTTCTGAAGGATCATGTGACACTGAAGACTGGATTAATGGCTGCAGAAAATTCAACTTAACCATCACAGGAATATATTTTGAAAAGTATTAATATAAAACTATAAATTGTAATACTATAGGCTGTACTCAACCAAAGAAAATCTTGGTCAACTGTAGTCCTGAAATTTTCGACTAAAAATTATGTTAAAAAAATTGTTGGGATGTAGACATTTGGCCCACTGCTTAATATGAGTTTAACACCCACTATATCACACAGGGATGGGGATCTACCCGCACAGTAATCTCAAAAATTACAAGTTCCTGTCCTCCTTTCCTGTTCTGTGTGTTTTTTAGGAAGGATATGGAATTTCAATTCATAATTTGTTTGTTTATCGGCGGTAAAGAAACTCTTCTGCATGATTGTCGTGTGTATTTCAATTAGCGTCAAGGCAATGTTTTCCCCCACGGGCTAAATTCAAATGACATGACAGGACGTTCCCGGGGGCGTTCCCAAAAAAACGTCTATATGAACAGACTATAGATTTTAACGTTTCTCTTAATAAACACAAAAGGCATGTCCTTTAATAATAATAAAGAATATTTATTAAACAAACCAGGTCAAGAGCAGTCAAACTAAATAAAGTTCATTACTGATCATGCCAATTTTGATATGTTCATAGCCTAACGTTACTCAAAACAAACAGGGCAACCTAAGCAGGAACAAATTATGTACATATCCTATATTGGATATTATCATCCAATAGTGTAAATTGCGGCAGCAGCTTCAGGTTGGTAGTCAAAGACATTGTTGTTTTTCTGTACCGTTACTTCCAGGGTTCTTCCAACTGGAGCGTCACTTTCGATTTCAAAATGGCAGCTGTGTGAAATCAGCGTATAGCCTTATACTTATACTTATATAGCATAGGAGAGCATAGGGGTACTCTGAAAACACCTCCGTTAGCAGTTAGTGCTTTTCACCTGATAAAATGAGCGCGCCAAAAAAAATAAAAAAATAGACCAATCAGAATTTTGGTCGAACCAGAACATATCGACTGGGACAGTAAAGTACAGCCCTAACTATTTCGAATTTTGATCAAAGAAATGCAGCCTTGGTGAGAATACTGTAAGAGAGCGACCCCAAACCTCAGAACGCTTGTGTATAATAATTATTTATATTGTAAATATTTCGGACTGTAAGGCATTTTGCATTGTAGTCATTGATTTTACTACAGGTTTGTTCTGTCATGTCTGTTTGACAGATATGTGTTAAGCATCCTATAACAAAGCAGATAAAGAATCAATGTACAAGTTTTTTTTATAGCTTCTTGTATATTTGTTTTCTTACAGTTGTCCATAATGTACTGTGAATATCTTTATTTTGGGATCCTACATATTAATTATTGTATCATCATTGCCTTGCAAATCAGTATCTCAGGATATTTTAATAGAAGGCAATCAAGCTGTCTGTACTGCAGCAACGGAGTCATGTAGTCATGAGGCGGCCCTCTAGTGTTGTTTAGTGGTAATGCATTGTGGTATTGTATTACATCTTGTTTACACACACTCACTTCTTCACAGAAGCCTCCATAATAACGCACAACCAGATACCAATAACTATGTATGTATGCATGTATGTTTGGGGGACAGTAATAAATTTTTTTTTTAAAATAAATTAATATTTGTATACAGCAAGGATGCATTAAGTTGACCAAAAGTGACAGTATAGACTTTCACATTGTTAAAAAAAAGTATAAGAATAAGAAATGTTTCTTGTGCAGCAAATCAGCATATTAAAAGGATTATAAATGATCATTTTACTCTGAAGACTGGAGTAATGATGCTGATAATTCAGCATTGCCATTAGAGAAAAAAACTTAATTTTAAATTGTATTAAATAGAAATCAGTTCTTTAAAATTGTAATAATACACATTATAACTATACTGTTTTACTATATTTTTGATCAATAAATGCAGCCTTGGTGAGCATAAAAGGGCCAATGACTTTTTTTTTTTTGACAGTGTTCAGTTATTTTCTATTTATTTCACAGATTACGGATCTCAAGACTGCTATGATATACCCCGTCCCTTCCCCCAAGACAAAAGTTGTTCATTTGAATTTAATGAAAGCATGAGCAACTATTTTGTAAGTTTTCTTACTTAATACATTTTCTATTTATCTATTCTAAAATGCTATGTCCCATCTTTCAAGAGTCTCAATTATCCCTAACAGTTTCTTCCCTGTTCTTTGATGCATGCAGAAGAATAAAGGCATGATGCCAGTAGGAGGTGTTTCCACTGAGGAGATGGATGAGAACTATGTGCCCATGAGCGTCCACTCTTCGTCACATCACCGCTCCGGCAGCCTATCAGAACCCATTCAGGAGCCCAACTACGTGCCCATGACACCAGGCACAGTGGAGTTTTCCTCTCTCGGAAAACAGGTGCCCCCTCCAGCCCACATGGGCTTTCGTTCCAGCCCCAAGACCCCGCCACGCAGACCAATGCACATAACTGAATGCCAACCGCCACCTGTAGACCGCAACCTCAAACCTGACCGTAAAGGTGAGCCCTGAGGTTTGTTTCTGTTGTGGTGGGTGATATAACTGTGTGAATGTGCTTGCATCTCTTCAGCACAGCAACTCTCATCAACACATTTCTCACTAACAGGTGCCGGCCCATGCTTATGAAACCTCTCGTCCGCTTCTGAAACTAACGTTGATTGTGATCTCAGACTGCTCGTTGTCACACGGACATAACTCAGTGGCCTTTGCCTTTTAATCGTTAGCATGTGACCTCACAAATGAAAGAAGCTATTGTCCACAGACTCTGAGCATTGGGTGTGAGGGAGCCTGTCTGCGCTGTTAGCCTGGAGCGGTCACCTCTGTCCCCATTGTGCCTTAGTGAAAGACCTCTTTGATGGCCAGACCTGCGAGGGGAATTTCAATCTCGTCTGAAAGAAAAAGGGGACGTGCTGAAAGTTGCACAAGCAGGCCCGAAACATCAGCTGCCAGCTGGGACAGCACTATTGATCCTAACATTAATGGCAGCAGCTCTCTGCGCTCATTCGTGTTACTGTTTCTGAGAGCTGACTAATGCAAGAGGCAGCAACTTGCATGCAGAGATGCACCGCACAGCCATAACTATGCTTACACCAAGTATATTAACAGGTTTGGTTATTTCAGAGACACCTTTGCCGAGCAGGTGCATAATATCAAACAGCAATGCAATGTTCCTGAAAATGTAATTAGATATGCTCATAAACTACCATGAAAACACATTTGCCAATTAAATAGCTTGATGTGTTTGAAGAAGGTCTTGTGATGTTACCGGTACTTCAAGTCATGTGACTAAATAAGTAGCGCAGATGATTGGTTAATATTACCTCTGACGATCTGTCACTCAGACTTAAGGCATCTGCCATCGATCAGTCGCACACCTGAAGCGTGCTCTAAACCTTCAAGACAAGACAATACATTTAAAGAGGCAGTATGCAATTTTTTTTCAAAGTTGTGGTTAAACACTCTTTATAATAGAGTGCCGAAGTGATGACGTCACTTTTACTCGGAAGCTAGCGGCGCATGGGTTCCCTCGATCAAAAAGCTATGCATTTTCCCCATAGACTTTTGGAAAATCGCAAAAAATAATAAGATCTGTGTTTAACAAAGAGTTGTGATCCTTACACGTTTTGTCTATATAATCTTTACAAGTTAATCAAAATTTATACATTTTGAAGCCCATGCAAAGTTTTTAAAAAAACACAAGCAGACAAAATAAAGTTTAAAAAAACACAATCTGGTTATAACTGTGTGTTCTATGTCATAGATCAAAATGTGAAAATGTTTAGAGGCTTTGTTCACCACAGACCTTATTTCAGGCGTTTTAGCAAAAACCCATTCAAAAATCCCATAGACTTCAGAGCGAGGGAACCAGGAGTGCTAAAATGCTAACTCACTTCCGCGTTTTGGCCTACAGAGTGACGTCGTAACTTTGGCACTCTATTGAAATCAAACCAAACAAACACCCCCCTCCCTTCATTTCTCCGACCCTCTAGTGCACAAACACGCAATGCAAGTTCAGCAGCACACACTCAAAAGCAATATTACACACGTACGGAGCAGAACCGTTCCTCGGCATCCGTTCTCAGGCCTTCCCGCTTTGGTGTCTCCAGCACTGGAAAGCTTTTCTCTTTTTTAATGTCTTTCTCTCTCTTCAAATCTCCCTCTTGCTCACTCTCTCTCCTCCCCCCATCATAAGTGGACACGGCCCCTATGCACTTGCTCAGTGGAATGCACTTTCAACAGCGTTGTTGCAAAATAGCTTACTGCACCTTTAATAAAAGACCCCAAATGCCATTTCTTTACTCATGACCATTTTATCCTTTTGAATGGATGGAAAGTTGCGTCATTTGCAATTTTTTCCATATTAATTTAATTTAATTTTTTTTTTTTTTTTGGCGTAAATTACATTCCAACTATGCATGGAAACAAAGCTACTACAACATAATGCCAATGGTTTTAAATTGAAATGTTCAACAAGCACATACTGGTATGATGCTCGGTTGTCCACACACATTTGGCCTAGTAGTGAAAAACTGAAAAATCAGTTTTGAAATTTTCTTTAAACATGGGCCAAGCACAATTTTCACTGTTCTCTCATCCTTCTCAAATGTTGTAAAATGAGTCCTTTCTGCTGCTCTTCAGGCCACAGCTTATTCTGTTTATGTATTTGCAAGCTTTTGCTGAACATGGTGTGATTCAAATGGCTTTGGTGGCATTTCATTGGCAGTTGTTGGATACTTTGTGTATTAGCGTGTTTGTCTTTGCTCATTGTCCTTATCGTGGCTATTCTATATTAGCTTTCTGGCTAAATTCAAATTTTAGTGTCTGTTCCGTCTGGGCTCTCCTTTTATCTGACCTTTTACCTGAATATTCACATCTCCTTCAATCTTGGAAATGAATTCTTCTTTTGTTTTTGGTCTGTTTAATTGTGGCCATCATCACTGTTGACTTTTGGTGTTTTCTTGTGGCATGTACATGCGTACAGCAGAACAAAAATGTTGGATTTAATTTTTCTAAAATTGCAAAGACATTACTGAACCCTTCTGTCTGGCTGAGGCTGAGCCACATGCTGGCGTGTCGTCGGTTGGTGTGAATGCTTTACTCACCCACGTGTGTCTGTTTAACCCTGTGCATGTCTCGCCCAAGTCCGTCTTTGTGGGAAAGCCTTGTTTGTCGCATGTCTTAAATGCATGAAGAGTTGTTGCCATGGCAGCAGCCCAACACATATTTGTGCGGGAAAAGAGAAGAGGCCAGGTGACGGAGCTGGCCGTGATTGTGCTAAATTGCATGGGTGTGAAGTTTAGAAGAAAACACAAGGCCGATTTCTCTAAAGAAGACATGTAACAAAGAAGTTTTCTCTCACCAATTCAGGTCAGAGCCCTAAAATAAACAGAGCAGTCGGTCTTGAGCGAACCGACTCCCAAACCATAGGTGAATTCTCAAGACGGCGTAAGGGTACGTACCTCGACAGAATGCTACTTTCATTGTCTGCGGTGTTTTTTTGTTTTGTTTTGTTTTTGAAGGTTCCAGCAAGCTCTAACAACACAATGTATAATAGAAAAAATACAGCAAAAGAATATGGTTATCTCTCTTGTAGGTAGCTGTTAAAATTATATGTGTGTGTGTGTGTACACATGATACCTGCTATTGAAACACATTAAGGACTTATCACATATTTTAACAAATATTTACTTTGGCCGTTATTCACACCTTTATAGAATAAAAATCACTTTACAGGTTATTCTTTCATACAGAGACCATATTCAAGCACCTTGTGCTACTGTTAGAAAAATTTGACAGTTCATTGTAAAAATGGCTTCCAATCCCAAAGACTGTGTAAACATAGTCTATCACACAAACACACATAGCTTAAAGGATTAGTTCACTTTTGAAAAAACTTTTGCTGATAATTTACTCACCCCCATGTCATCCAAGGTGTCCATGTCTTTCTTTCCTCAGTCGAAAAGAAATTAAGGTTTTTGATGAAAACATTACAGGATTTTTCTCCATATAATGCACTTACATGGGAACCAGACGGTCCAAGGTCCAAACGACAGTTAATAACAGTTTCAGATGCAGCTTCAAATGTCTTTAAATGTCAACCAGACGATGAATAAGGGTCTCATCATGTGAAACGAGCGGTTATTTCAAAGCTTATTCCAAAAATGTCACTTTTCTAAGGACAAATGCTAGCATTGCTCCATTCTGTGAGGCGCGTTTGTAACGTCACGTAATACGTAATTACGTTCAAAAGGTCACGGACGACGTAGCCGGAAGTACAGAGTCAGAGTGTTTACAAGTTGAATGCATAGGTTGAACGTGCAAACTAACTCAAACGCCGTTTACAAAAAAGGAATTAAAAGGTAAAACAACGATGTCGGACGATTTTGATTCTGTACTTCCGGCTACGTCGCCCGTGACCTTTTGAACGTAATTACGTATTACGTGACGTTGCAAACGCGCCTCACAGAATAGAGCAAGGCTAGCATTTGTCCTTAGAAAAGTTAAATTTTTGGAATAAGTTTTGAAATAACCGATCGTTTCGCATGATAAGACCCTTATTCATCGTCTGGTGTCGTTTAAAGACATTTGAAGCTGCATCTGAAACTGTTATTAACTGTCGTTTGGACCTTGGACCGGCTGGTTCCCATGCAAATCCATTATATGGAGAAAAATCCTGGAATGTTTTCATCAAAAACCTTAATTTCTTTTTGACTGAGGAAAGAAAGACATGGACATCTTGGATGACATGGGGGTGAGTAAATTATCAGCAAAAGTTTTTTCAAAAGTGAACTAATCCTTTAACTACCTACAGTGTGTGAAGGAGCTTCGTTTTCATAATTACTACTGTTGTCTATCCGTTGCATTTGTCTGTTGTGTGCACAGGTTCCAGTCCATCTGAAGGCTTTTGGGTTTGTTTTTTTTAAATGGTTGGTCTGCTGGTTATTAAGCAAATGAATTTGTGATAGTTGAGGTTTCTAGGTTTTGATTGAGTGATGCTTGTTGTGTCTGGGAGGGAAGCTAACACTCTTGATACCGCAGGTAAAGCTAACTGATTAAACACTCAATCATCAGAGTCTCTACAAACACCTTTCACTTTCAAACCGCTCACTGACCCCACGAGTCATAAACATCATAAACACTTAACCAACACATTTGCAGAAGCATTTTTGAGTCATTGACAAGAGCTGGCAGTGGGCGGATGAATCCTATCATGACTAATAGTCTAAAGAGCAATTCAGGTGTCTGGTTAGAATCTTGGGAGCTTCCTGATGCTGCTTCATTTAATGGAATCAGGATATATCTACCATCAGGGTGTCCAAAGATACACTACCGTTCAAAAGTTTGGGGTTAGTAAGAATCATTTGTCTCTTATGCTCAAGATACTGTAAAAACAATAATAGACTCATATAAATGAATCTCCATTTAGTGTTCTCAAGCCACATTATGTGCCCAAAAAGTTTACTTAGGGCCTTGAGATGCATACCAGTCTGTGTTCTCTTCCCTCACACACTGGCACCAGCTGGTGTGCGTTTCAGCCAACTACAGCTCTTCAGTTGCCAGTTTGGGCGCCTCTCAGCTCAGCAAAGTGTCGGGCCAGCTGTGATGATAACTGAATCAGATGCTTCTTATATGAGAGAAAATGCAGAAAAGAGGATGTGTTTGATTATCACTCGTTTTAACCTTTACTTAGCTGTGGCCTGGCTTTTCCCTCAGATGTGATTTCAGTTCTAATGACTAATGATCCATGTTTTCTTTAAGTGTGTTCATGATAAGGAAACAAATGGATTCCCACTGAGGAAAGGGTACTAATTGTATAACAGATACCTTCTACTGGTTAAACACTCACTATTAGCTGCATGTGGATTCCTCACATATATTTCATATTTTAATATCATTTGTATATATTACAATTAAGCATTATTTATTCTTTCAAACAAACTGAACCCTCATAAATGACTTAAATTAGTTAAATATTTAAATACTTAAATATTTATAACTAATGTTAAGTATTTTGTCCCATGGAATTCACTGCAACAATTTATGTTTGAGTGTTTCTTTGAAGAATGTATGCACAGATTATTTGTTCTGCTTGTTTAACCCTTTTCCCGCCAGCATTTTATTTATTTTTTTATTTTTGTAATAAATATATTCCGCCACCCGAATTTGATTATTTTTACAAAAACTTTCATGCCCCCCAGAATATCTTGTTGTCTGAGTATCTGAACATGTAATCTATCAAAAGGTATTCTACCTTTCATGCATTGTTTTTTTTTTTTTTTTTTTTTTGTCAACACTTGAATGTGGGTAACAAAAAGCTGAACAAAAACAAAAACAAAATTTTGAACAAAAAGCTGTCTTTGTCAAATACTGCAACAAGTGTTTAAGCAATGCTTCTACCACCTGTTTCTGCTTCTTTTTGTCTGTTTTTTGATCCGGAGATTCTGTACTTTTTCAGAAGATGCAATGTAGTGCCCTCTAACGGATAACATTGAAAACATAGATTACAGTAAAATTCCATCAATGGCAGGGAAGCACCGTCTCTAAAATGACGGAAAATTCTGTTAATTAGGCCGAACCTTTTGTTGGTATTATGTCATCTGAACATTTTTCAGAATTAAACTGGTGTTTTTTCTTGCAGTTAAGCCAGCCCCTTTGGAGATCAAGCCTTTACCTGAGTGGGAAGAGTATACGGCACCGGTCCGTTCCCCCGTGACCAGATCCTTCACGAGGGAGTAAGTGTTGGGCATGTTTCCTCTGAAACAGATCAGCAATTAAGCATGGTTCTGCATGGCCTCCACGCAACAGACACCACAGGCTAAATAACTAATCATTCATGCATTCTTGTAGTCTTGTCCTAACATGCCATTATAGTAAAATAGTAGTCATGATTATAAGTTATTGGACTGTCATCGCTACCTAGCAACACATTATAGTTAAAGTGGTAATGATGACAGTCCAATGATGCCATGAACTGTGTTCTTTATTTATTGAGTTAATACATTGATGTAGGTGCTACGTGACTCATGTGTCTGAAAGGCTGTTGAAAGTGTGTGTGTGGATTTTTGTGTTTGCCAGTGTGTTTTGGGTTCCTCAATATCAGCTAAAGAGCTCAGAACATGCGTTAATCCAGACAGATAGAGTTTGTGTTGCTGTTCTTTGTGTGTGTGTGTGTGTGTGTGAGAGAGAGAGAGAGAGAGAGAGCGAGCGGCAATGTAAATGTTGTCTTGCTGCTCAGCCCCTCTAGGTGTACCACGGCCCCCAGACCGTCCTCGGGGCATAGCACTGCCTCCAGCAGCGACTCTGACGACTGTGATGAGAATTATGTAACCATGCAACACGCTAATATGTCTTCAGATGAAACAGTATGTAAAAAAACAAAACAAAACAAAAAAACACCACAACAATTTTTCCACAAAAATATACATTTATTGCTTTCAGAATTGGAATATATTCAGTGTGTGTATATATATATATATATATATATATAAAAACAAAAATTTTAGAAATTGTGTGTATATATGTATATAAAAAAAAAAACTAAAATTTTAGAAGTTGTGTATATATGTATATAAAAAAACTACAATTTTAGACTAAAGTTTGGGGTCGGTATGTTTTTTAAAATAAGTCTCTTTTTACTAAAGATCATTTATTTGATCAAAGATACAGTAAAAACAGCAAAATTGTAAAATATTGATAATATTAATATTGTTTTCTGTTTGAAAGAGCCATTTCATGATGCATGATACTAGTATCGATACTGTGCACATGTACTTGTACCATTACTAGAGCTGGATTATTAATCAAAATGAAACCACACGTGATTTGGCAAAGGCTGTGATTATTTTCTGCGCAGCTTGTCAGTGCAGCACGGCTGATGGGTAGTAAATGCTGCTCTATCTGAAAGCCAGAGGGCGCTCTTGTGCAGACACCTCATATATGCCCCGCCACAGAAGTAGACAGCAGCACATGTCATTTAAACAGAAGTTTAAAATGCTTTGATTCATTAAATGTTGTCTTTTGTTGGACAAGAGGTTCATAAATGCTTATGTTTGGAAAAATGTTTAATATGTGTTGCTTTTTCAAATGTTATAAGCGACTCAAACTACTAGCTTTGGTTTCAGATGGAGCAGCATGTACTACAGATCACAAAGCCATACGTCACTGACAAGCTACGCTTTCAAAATATTCATAATCGCAATAATTCAAATCAGTTAAGCGCGATTTCCATGTTAATTGCGATTAATTGTGCAGCCCTAACTTGTACTCATTAAAATGCTCTGATATCAACAAACGATACCACGCAGTGTGTTCAGTACAGTGCTTGCGACAAAGAAACACTGACAACAGAGCAAACGGAGAGCAAAATGGATATATCAAAGAAGGATGTCTGTGAAATAAATATATTAAATTAATAGAATGATAAACAAATTCGATATTTCCCTATATACCTGCTGTGCGTGAGCTGATAAGCGAAAGGTGGAGTTGATTGAGCAAGCTTGTCGAGCGCTCATCCTTTTTTCACTGGCATTGCTGGAAAGTTTGTGGTTCAGTCAGATATGACAATAGCAAAGAAAGTAAAATAAGGAGCATATTACTAACAGTATCTAACAGTAAAGAGAGGGAGAGAGCTAGCACTTTTGTAGCATACTCTTGATTGTTTATCATTCACTCAGCAGACATGCATTATTTTATTAAAACTAAGTTATATGTGTAAAGACATGAACTGTTAAGTGATTTGTGTGTAATGAATGGCTCCCTACATTTCCATAAAGGCACTATAGTAATCACATGACGTTTTCAAGTGGTTTTCTGTGCGCAAACATCCGAAGCACGCACACAGAATGCTGCCTCTCAGACAGCACGCGGATAGCCTATTAAATAGTTTCCTACACATTCACACAAAATTGTCAAAATGCCCGTATAGGCAAGTATCCTTGTAAAATATAGTCGGCCATGTCTTAAGTGAACTTAAACGGTTAAAAAGAAAACGTGTGTCTAACAGTATGTTGGATATGAGCAGCTCTTAAAGTGACAGCAGCCTAATGAATCTACTGCTGTCTTTGTCCTCAATGTTAATCTAACAAAAGACAGAGAACTCTCACTGCTCTTGACTGATTGAGCCCTTTTGGATCAGCTCAAAATATTGTGCTATTAATTTAAAGATAAAATATAATAGATAAATAATATGAACTTTGAAAGTATACAGTGGTTCCTACAAAACATTTTAACAGGCATAATTAGGCATGAAAATGACTGAAAGAAATATATTGGCTAAGTCAACACATTTTATTTATATTCTTTTGGTTTCTATGCCCATTATTTTTTTAAATTATAAAATACAATGAAAATAGCAAGTACTAAAAATAAAAATATTGCATAGGACTCGTTCTGGAAAAAGTGGTATCGGTGTATCACGTATTGTTCAACTATATATTAGTACAAATGTAAAGAGATTGACTCTCTCTTTTGATCTGTTTAATGTAAAAAAAAAAAAAAAAAAAAAAAGGTTTTACTGACCCCAAACTTTTAAACGGGTAAAATGTATTTGAAAATATTATAGCAACATTAAATGATTCTTAGAATTCTTAGTTTTCTTCAATTTAATTTTTCATCAGATTTGATTTTGAAATAAACATGGTCATTGATTCTATTTTTTTTTTTCTTAAAATCTATTTTTTCTTTTTTTTTTTCTCTTAAAATCTAAATTACACACTATATATATATATATATATATATATATATATATATATATATATATATATATATACACACACACATACAATCCATTCAGTGTTGTTGTTTTTCATTATTAGGGACAAAGGCTAGATTGAGAATTAAAGTTCCCAGAAATCTTAAAGGGGTCATGAATTGAAGAATCAAATGTTCCCTGATCTTTTGACAGAGAAGAGGACATTGTACTATAAAAAACATCCTGTAAGTTTCAGAGCTCAAACCTTTGTTAGTCCAAAAATAGCTTTTATTGAAAAAAAAAGCCTGCCAAAACGACACGTATGACGTCATAGTGCGATCAACGCCTGCTTCTACATCATTGCCTCTTTAGCCCCGCCCACCGATTTGTGCATGTAGAGGGAGGGTGGGTGGAGGGTGAGTAAATACGACAGTGATACAAACACAGGATTACTCGAGCAACAAAACAATAGAGGTGCCTCATAGAGTCCTACTACACGATGTGGGAAAACAGTCTTTGCATTGCCTTCCTTGTGATCTGAACATTAGGAAAGCATTGCTGAACTTTCAGACCGTGTCAGCAAGACACGGTTTATTTATTAACTTTATTTTTAGACAGTTCAACTTAAGAATTTCAGAGAAATTGAAAATAAAAGATGATGCAGTGCCAACTATATTGGAAATGACAGTACTAATGGTGAACACACAAATAACAACAATTTAACCAGTGTTGGGTCTATCTCATCACAACGTAATTAATAACTGTAATTTAATTACTTTTCCATTGAAAACGTAAATACTATAAAGACTATAGCTAATCTATATTAAACAATAATGGATTTAACATTAAAATGAAACGTCTAATGATAAAATGTATGCTTTTAATTTAATCTGGTCCCTTTAAATTCTTTGGTCAGTTCAAGAATAATTTGTTAAACTATTATATTATTTATTTGAAATAATTAAATGAGCAGTTTCATTTCAGGCATTGTATTGCTCAACTGGTCAATTGTTATGGGGTTTAGAAAGTAATTACAATGTAAAGCAATACTTTTTTTAAAAGTAATTAATACAGTCATTTATTAACCTGTTGAAGATTTAATTAGTAGCTATTTATTTATTTATGTATTAATTAATTAATTTATTTATTTTTTCAAATAACCAACACTGGTTTTTACCATGCATCACAATTGCTTGCCTTTTACAGATCAAAAAGGATAAACAATGACTATATGAACTATTTTGTGTATTCATAATTTGTTTTCATAAAACACCATAAGGAATGTCAATTATAGCTGAGATAAATATTTCAACTTTATTTGTCAAATCCAAGACTTAAAAAAAGTATATGTAATACAAATAAATGTTTTACAGTTGGCAAATATTTCAACTGAAAACGAGAAACACTTTTCTGTAGCATCTTTGTTTAAACTCTATGGAATAAATATAAATAAAGACGATTAATTTCCATGCTGTTGCAGGCTAGAGTATCCTTGATATTTGAGGTGTAGGCTCGTTGTCTTCTGATTCGGGATCAGACTCAATTTCACCGGACTAAATTTCACCGGTTGCCATTTTTCAACATCAGAGGTTTTCTAAACAATTCCACGTGTAATGGTGAGGATGTTAAAAATTATTTTAATATGCAAAATTGTTACCCAATCATTGCAGTGGGCATTTGTTTCTTGAATGTGGCACGCCTATCAAAACAGAGTGTTTAAAAGAGAGGGTCAAAAACAGGTTTGAAAATAGCCCATTAATTCTAACTTGTTGTTTATGTAAAAAAAAGTCTTGCTAACATAGGTTGGCCCTCAAAGAACATGTTATAAAAATAAAAAAAGTTCATGACCCCTTTAATTGGTGGGTGATATTTTGTGATCTGTGTACTGGATAGAAGGACCCCTCGCTGCTTTTTCTATTTTTACTTTTTCTTTTTATTTCTGCTATTTTTGTTGTCTGTCTTCCATTTCTTTTTTGTTTCCTTGGTTTAGCCTGAAGGGGCATCTTTGCTGTTCCACTTTCCTGTTTATTAATGCGTTTTCTTATTTCTATTAATGGACCATTTTCCTGATATGGACCTTTTTGTGCATGGCTTGTTTTGTTTGCTAACATGTTAGCATGTTAGCTGTAAAATAACAAGCAAACAGCTTACAGCTGTGATGTTGATAACACTGCACAGTGTGGCTTTTGATGCACTGGATTCCGCTGCCAAAAACCTGGGAAAATATTTTCTCTGCCTGTTTTTCTGTTTCTCATTTTCTACATTCTGTTCCTTGCTTTGTTCATCCTTTTGTCTGGCTCATCTGTGTTTTGCATTTTTCATTTCTAGTTCCTCTGCTTGCCTTTGCTGTTTGTTTCCTGTTTACTCTTTGATTTTTTTTTCTGCTCCTCCTCTCCTCCTTGTTCCTCCGTTCTGTAGAGAGGAGTCCTTCTACTGTACAGTTCCCATCACTCCTATAAAGAGAGAAGTGTCAGATCTAGACAAGCTGGATGAGGTGAGCAGGCTTGCAAAAGTAGACTGAACTTAGTGTATGACCTGACAAATTCCACGAGAAACACCATTAGACAGTTTTCTTCTTTTTTTCTATTGGGTATACAATCGTTCATTTCAACATGAGTGAAACCTAATTTGAGTGTAGATGAATGATGATGATAATCTTTCTTATAAGTATTTTGTTATTTTTTTTTATTTTTTTTATCAATTATATACAGTATGCATTATATTAGCAATGCAGTGTTGTTCCCCCTGACAGTCACTTGATGATTTGGTTTGTATTGAGTTAGTAAATATTGCAGAGTGAAATAACATTTCATATATTTTGAAGAACATGCATCAAAAAACCACATCATACTACACACATCTATTACATGTATGACTCACACCATGGAAATTTAAGGAAATAATTTTGGAAACAACACTTTAGAGGTCAAATTGTCATCTGCAGTGGTGGTTTTTCCATCCTGTTGAATTTAACTTAAATGGATCATTAATGAATTATGAAGCTCTCACATCAATTTGACAACAGTTTAGGACTTCCCTTCATATTTTGATATGAAGGTAAGGAACTCAGTACCAATTGAATCATCATAAAGAGTGTTGGGTGAACAACCACATGTCGATAGTTAGATTAGAAATGTTCACTTACATCACCTAGTAGCACTGTCGTAGATTCATTTACCAATAGCATAAATCTTTTAATAACTAATTCTGATGACCTTTTTGACCATTGATTTGGTAAACGTTTTATATTCTCTTTTTGTAATTATTTTGTTTATTTGATCTCTCAGAACATGAAGTTAGGAGCACCAATGAATGCTGATGGAGGTGGGAGTCCCATGGTGAAGCCCAAAGGAGACAAGCAGGTGGAGTACCTGGACCTCGACTTGGACCCTGGGAAATCGACTCCTCCTCGGAAGGTAAGATATGACAAATTTCTCACAACTAGACAAACTTTAAAATAAGTTATTATGGATGGATGTGTTTGTGAGGTTTGACCAAGGAGTCACTCAGACTACCTCATGTCTTTTACTGTCTATAGCTGACAAGCATAACAATGGGGGGCATAATATATGTTGACACCAGTGCTATTATCCCCAGGCTCTATGATTATACCCCACTACTATTTTGATCATTATATAGCAGGAATAAAATCTGCTCTTTTCTCAGCGTGATGGAATATGGTCATTCTCTGGCCTTTTTTTATTAAGAAAGTATTATACACCAGTTGAGGATTATTGTTTTTCCCATCGTTCTCTGCAGACAAGAGACTGTAATGAGTGGCAGCTGTTACATTATACTGGCACCAGTTTATTGTCCCCATCCCCTAATTTCTAGCTTTTTAAATAATGTAATTATCCCCACTCCTTGATTTAAAAAGTTAAATATTAATATTTGCAAATTAAAGAATTTTGCTCATTTAAGTAAAGAATGCACTGATATTATAATTCTGTCTGTCTAAGCCTTTACTTATTTATGCTATGACTGATAACTGATAAATAATTATAATTATATAACATACATGTTATTTAAATAAAGTGCAAATTTATTTTTTTTAATTTTTTTTAATTTTAATGAAATGTCTAACAACAGAGTGTTAATAACTTAGCTAAGGGTGGCATTTTTACAGTATGAAATGAGATTTTTATTAATATTACATTTGAACTTTTCTAATTTTTAGAATTTTTAAAGATTAACTTTGTTAGTGTTACATTACAGAAAAAGTCATCTAAATGTAAAAAGTGTGTAAAATAGCATTTATGTTAAGTAAAATATCCAATGTCATCCGATAACTGATATTGGATTGATATATTTTGCAAAATTCTTTATCTTTCCAATGAATTATTATTAATTAATATATAATTATTATTATATATTAAAAATGTGTTTTTTAATGAAAAAGACAGTTCTATACATTACTGATGCTGACAAAATAATCGTAGAATTTTATTATTATTATTATTATTATTATTATTATTTTAGAGTCAACTTGCAATCCAAGTACTGGTATATCTGGCAAGACCAGTTTTGACTATCTGTCATATCTTCACCTTCCAGAAGAAGAGTAACGGGACTGGTATTTCAGCATCAGATGAGCGGGTGGACTATGTGGTGGTGGATCAGCAGCGAACGCAAGCACTGAAGAGCACACGAGAGGCCTGGAGTGACGGACGGCAGTCGACGGAGACAGACACCCCCAGCAAAGGGCCCAAATGACACCCACCTCTCTCCTCTTTTCTGCTTGGTCAGGACTCGTGGGTCAGGCCGAGGAATGGAGGATGTTTGATCTTAGATACAGGTGTGTGACAGCGACTAGGTCACAGCTCCCAGATCAGCTAGTTTACACTGCTTCCTGCTAGACGACAGCACCCACGCAGGGGAGAGCTGATCCGAGGGATTCTCATGTATAAGCTGACAGACTCGAAGTAAGATGGACAGAACAGGGGCTGAAGGACTCACAATGCCTTATTGGCTGAAAGCCCAGTAGATTTTGTGCTAACAGAGCAGCATTATTCGTAATATAAAGATACACACTGCCCCTCACCCATCCACTCAGACAGTTTCTGGTTCATGGATATCGTTTTTTCCCCCATAGAGGTGTTAAAGCACATTATTCCTTGGGCTCGGAGTGCATCAGGTCTGTTGAATTTGTCAGTTGTTTTCACAATGTTCCATGTTCACAAATCTGCCAAGGTGGGTTTTTAGGATGTGTTTTACTTGGGAGGCCAAACAGGTTTCTTTTTTGTTTTGTTTTTGGTGTATATAGTTCCATGATAATCTGAAACCTTCAGACATCGAGGTTTCACTTGTTTTCCATTCGTTTTATTCTTTTGGGCCTCAAGTGTAATTCGGTAGTGCAATCAAAAGGTTTTGAGTTGCTTGAACCGCGAATCTACTTACAGGTGAAAAGAGTTAGTTTGTTTGAAAATGATTTTCATTTGCATGTAAGACAGCAGGCAGACTGTATAAAGTGTTATGTACATTAATAAAAGTGTCCTTTATTTGTATCTAATATCTAGTATGTTAAGGCTAAGGTGTGGATTCTGCAGGATAGAAGTCTACACGGTCTGAGATGGTATCCGAAACTATGAAATGTTATTGGTGGAATCAGGAACTGTGATAGTTTTTAACAGAGAAGAGAATTCTCGAAGTTTTTTTTGTGTGTGTTTTATGTTTTTGGTTTAATTTTCTCTCCTTTGTTTTCAAGCAAGGTATCAATTTACAGAAAGCGCCGAGGTCAGGTACTCACTGAAAGGTTTAACAGAGTTCTTTTATTTTATTTTGCAGCCATAGATGATGTCTTTAGTGTTGCAGTTCGTATGTTCTCATAGAAACCTTTTTGAAATTGCTTACGACGCAAGATATTCTTACAAAGGCTTTGTGCTGTATGAGATGCCTTCATAGAGGGGAGGAAAAGCCGGTCTAGTAGTTTCAGGAATTTTATTTTGTTTCTGCATTCTCTGTGTGACTGCTCTATCAATGCATTGTATTGCCACTTCGATAATTTATTTCAGATGGAGTTCCACAGCTCTTGGAAACTAATTGCCTTACCATTGCAACTTTTTTTGAATGTTGTAAATATGATCCATTTTTAGTTCAAATCAGAATACATCTATACAGAATACATCAGCATAGAACTTTACTGTGTGTGTAAAATAAAGTAGCTCTACTAACTACCATTCTTAAGCCAAGAAGACACTTGAAGTGTTGCAACACCGTTGGTGGCTTCTGCTGTATATATCGATAGGCTTTCCAAGCATGTCTTTTGATTCAAAGCTGTGCCTATATTGTTTCCCTTTTACTCAAATCTTTTTTTTTTTTCTTTGAGCCCCTAGACCCTGATGCTTTATATCTTTTTTTAATGAATCTGAAAGAAATGTACATTTTAAAATAAACTCAATAAAAATGATATTTCAGGAGATTACTGCTGACATTGCAACTAATGGAATCTGTGATGATTTGTTTTCAATGGCATTGAACATTATGTGTTAATATTATACCCTAAATGAATGGTGTCCTGATGGATATCGGTCCCTATACAGTAAGTGAGCCTCAACTGCAACCATGGCTCTTTAATCAATGCACTTGGAATTAGACACAGGGACATGTTAAATGACAGTAATTCAACTTGTCACGGGTTATAGAAGTAAGCATTTACATTTTAAACACTTGAAACAAGTATCCAAGTATCTTGACAGAATTCTTTTCATCAGCAATAAAGACACTAAAAGAAATTAAACAATATTCTCAAAAACATATTGTGTCATATTGATATATTTGTTTAAAACACAATGCTAATCTGGTGTATTAGCTGACAGACTTTAAATCTGTTGGGTTTCAAACTCTTTTGTCCTGGTGTTAGTGATTTCCATTATAGGGTGAGATTAAAATGACAAAATGTTGGCTGGTTTGTGTCTTACAATTAAATTAATACATTGAAAAATAACTAACATTAAACAATAAACTGAAGGGAAGCCACAAAATAAAATGCTATAAATGCTTATAATTTGAATATTCGGCATTCTTTGCTTCTATTGTGTAAATCTGTAATGATTTCTTAAAAAAAAGTTTTCAAGTTTTATCAGGGTGTATTTTATCATGTTCTACCTTTTGTTAACACCAGTCTCTCCTTTTTCAGATAAAGAACAGGCAACTATGTACACACAGAATTAATGTGTGATTCTGAACCACATTTTAGCATCCTGAAAATGTATAAAAATAAGTACATTCTGAATAGTTATGAACTTGAACATCACGCTCCCTTTGCATAGCAACACATCGATCATGCGGGAACGCTGACCTTGGCTGTTGTACACAGCAGTTCATGTCATGGAACATATAAAAATAGATATATTCATTACATAAATGTTCGAAGAAGCCAGTTCTTGCATCTTTCAATTTGCTTAAATCTTACACACACACATTCAGAAGAAGAACTGTTACAAATCGAATTAAATTAAAATGGACTGATTAAAAAAAATGAAAATAAAAGACACTATGATCCTGCATGAACATTTAAATTGCCTGGGAAACTGCTGCGATTGCTGTTTTTGGCTATTGATCCCCAACATATTTCATGATGGGGGAAAATTTACCATTTAATTTTTTTTATATATATTTCTATTTATTTATACAAGTAGTTGTTTTTTTGTTGTTGCTGTTTTTTTAATTTGAAAAAAAAATCAAAAGGGTGGATTTATATATAATAAAATATTATAGAGCAGAACTTGTTAAATTTGCAGATAATTTGAGTTTGACAAAAGCTGAAGCACAGATTCACTCTGTTTGTCTGAGCGGGTTTTCTGTCGCCAATTCTGGTTCACAGATCTACTGATTGGAGCACGCTAAATTAAAATTAGTACTACGAAGCTCAAACTTAATCTTAAGAGAAAGGCAACAAGCAACCTCCTTTAGTTTGACCAGTTTGTATGAGGAGTCTTGGAGTTAAGATGTCTTCAACGAAGCTGTGAAACCTTCCCCCCAAAAAAGCCATATATTGGATGGTGTCATTTGGCTTTAGATCTCATTATTTCCGTCTCCATAACTTCAAATGCTTCTTGACAAGAAAGCACCATGTGGAGAGTTAAGTTTTGGTCATGTCTTAAATGACATGCCAGGAAAAGGAGTGGTTTAAACCTCAGAGCTGTCCACATTGTGTCTTGTGGGCTGCTGCTGGTATGCTGCGCAGGACGAAGTGGAATAAGTTGGATACTTTTTCTCTTTCCTCTTGCGTCGCATCAAGAGAATCACCAGAATTACAACCAGGCATACCAGCAGGATGAGCCCAGCCACCCCGAGCAATGTGGACATGCCAGCGGGAAGAGAAAAATCTGAACCAGGACCTTTACCCAGGCTCCCCTCCACCAGGGGGTGCTCTAGGTCAGTCTCACGACCCCATGGCTGGCTCACTCGGAGTCGGTTTGAGCGGTCGATTGTGATATGCTGAATGTTGGTGCCTCGGTTATTCTCAGCACCGATATCAAAAGCTTCTGGGTCGGGGACTGCGCGACGTTTACGGGATTGGGTGCCAGGGTCAGCTACGGCGGAGGATACAGCGTGGTGGTACTCAAGGCTTCTTTTACCAATGCCTCGATTGGCGTTCTCTCTAGAACGGAGGGTGTAGATGGTGTGGATGAACCATTCCCGGCCAGCAGCGACCTGAGGAATTAAACATTATTTCTTAATATTCTAGATGAAAATCGGGCACCTTAGGGTTTCTCTAAGTTTATTGTTATAAAACATGGTGAGTCTCTGACCTGGAAGAGGGGAGATGATGACAGGGTGAAACCATCTGATCCAGCTTGTCTGACCAAAGGCAGGGCTCCCGGGGTATCCAAAGCAAAGCTGGCATCAAACTGGACATTTCCAAATGTGGTGGCCTGAGTTTCTGGCTGAGCTTTGTCCTTAAGTTCAAAGACCAACATGTCAATTGGTGATCAACAAAATTTACTTTGCATGCAGTTACATTCAATTACTTGAAAACACCCAATCTTTGATGAGCATGTTTCTAATTTCTGGAATTATTATTATTATTATTTTCAATTTTCAAAACAAATTTTCAAGGTGATACAATTTTAATATAACAATGAAAGAAAAAAAAAGTGTAATCATTTTATTAAACTAAAAAAACTGCTTCAGTGCTTATTAATTTTTGAAAAATAAATGTCTGACATATCAAAATCCTATGGTGGAACCTACATACAAAAATTGTGCAGAAACACACACCCCAAAAAAGGAAATTATATCATAGAGGAACTGCAGTACAAGACTGTGCCAAGCTCAATAAGTTTCTTATAATATAATATAATATAATTTAATTTGGTCTTGACAAGGCAAGGTTAGTTCAGATTGAAAATGTCATGTGGTACAACTATACCCAAATTATATATGCTAATTAAAAAAGGGTAAAACCAGGAGGGTTGAAGAAAAAGACTTTTTCGAAACCACATACAATTTTTGCAGACATTAAATTTCTAAAATGGTATAAGCATTTTCATTGACACTTTGATCTTCCTGTATTCAAATCATGAATTCACATTCACAATGAATTGTATGAAAGGCAGAACAAGCAGTTACCAGGATCTTGAGTCTGTAAAGTAGGGATGGAGCATCAGCCAGGCATCCATACTCTTTATTTGTTGGGTTGTACTTTGGTACATAGCCATCCGCACCAGTACAAAGGAACACTTTCTCAATGCTGCAGGAGAAAGAATCACCCAGGTTCTGCACTGGGTCCACCATCACACGCCCAAAGATGTTAGAACCTAGAGGAGAACCAATTTGATTCAATTAGTTTACACTCAATACAGGGACTGAATTCAGTCATTTTCACCAAAAATAAATTGAACTAATTAAATTATTATTGTTCTTGGATGTCTATTACCTTCCACGAAGGCAGTGTCTGTGCCCTCTCCAAAGCCCATGGAGCCATCAGACAGCCACAGCTCCTTCTTCGACAGCAGGAACATATGTGTATTCAGACTAAACTCTGCTGCTACAGGGTCACTCACCTGAGAAACAGCACAAAACCAGCAGGTGTTTATGCATCATGTATATTCATTGGGATTGACAGGATTAGATGAACATGCTGTTACCTCATAGTAGATCTGTAGCTGAATTAATAAGAAACATGTCAACTACCAGGAGCTGAAACCAACCTGCTGGAAGCGGATGTCCATGTCGAAGGTGAGAGGCTCCCTCGGGTGGCACACAGGGGGTATGCTGAACTCCCCATTAGGTGAAGCGCTACATGGAATCATCTTCACAGTATAGGTGCCGGAATAGTCTCTCACCTACATGCACATGCAGTCAGTTTACCTTTTTAATATTCATAAAATGTATAACCATTCATTAATTTTATGTCTGACAGTATGTAAATGAAATAAATAAAATAAAGTAATTAAAAATGGGACTAAACTTACAGCAAAGTCAGAAATGAAGCTCCATTGTTGCATGGGCTGGTTGTAAGTGGGCTCAGTTCTGACCAGGGAGAGAGTGAATGTGAGTCCAGGGTGGTCCGCCGACATTACCATAGAGGACAAAGTGGTTCCTGAAAGCCAATACACATCCCAGAGATGTCAAATTCCAGGTAAACGTAACTTCAGAAAAAATAAAAATAAAAACCAGTTTGATTTTAGTAACATATATCTAAAATAATATTCACAGTTACTTGCATTCAATTACACATTTAAAGATACTGTAGTAGCCTACCTGATATATTTTTCTTCAATTCGGGCAAAGTTTAAACCCCAAATAATATTTTAAAAGCAATCTGTGAAAAAATGCTGGCTTTACAATGCCATCCGGAGACTGTTTATTTGAAACAGTAGATGGCATTGTAAAGTGCATATTGAACTCAGGGACAAAAATTATAAAATGAGCGAGTGCTTCATGAATCCATTTTCCAAACCTTGTTTTTTTTCTTATCCTGAATCATACGGTCCGCCTGCGGAAAAGCCGAGTACCTGGCTGCGTGGCTTGCCATATAACAAGTTACATAAACAGAGAAAAGTAGCTCCGGCTGTTATTCCGCATCTGCAACTGTTTTTTAAACGCTAGCGCCCAAAGTTAAGGACTGCAGCTTTAAACATTGACTCTATAAAAATATTAAATCTATTATTATTATAATTATTTAGTAATACAATTTAATAATAAATTATTTTTTGTTGTATAGAATCGTCAGTGTGCAACTCATCGACCAATCAGAGTACACAACCTAATAAAGTTATACCGCGTGACCAATATGATGCGGAGGGATGAAAAATGTAAACAGATGGTGCGGACTGCGGAGTCTAACCGTAACCGAGTCTAATTCGCCATCTTTAGTTTGGAAGAATAGATGACACTAAGACATCCGTGATAAATGCATCGCAATGAGGTAATTTTTAAGTAGTTCGTTTCAATGTGACACACGATAAATGAACTAAATGTCGATTTGAATTGCGCTCCAAGACAAGCCTGATCCTAACCTAATGATTACGTTTAAACTTTAAAGTAAGTTACATTTACAAGTGGAGTGATAAGAGCTCAAATAAATAACTGAGTCTAAGATAATATATAAATACCATAATGTATGGTGTGTGTGTCCATACATGTATGGTGTGTGTCCATATAGCCTAATGCGGTAGTAAATGGAGATGCCAAAATATGCTACATAAAACATAGGCTACACATATTTAACTGAATTTTGGTCAACAATTCAACACCAATTTATTTTTAGTACTCTTAAAGGGGGAACTAGAAATGGAGAAACAAGTTTTGTGGGATTAGTTTTACCAGCAGGGGGCAGCAAAGGTTTGTCAGGGGGGTATTGCCACAGGAAGTTTACTGTCGCAGTCTAGGCGACTGTAGCTTATAGATTTATCTCTTTTGGGGCAGAGTTTTACAACACAGTGGAAGAGAGTTAAAGGATCGCCTGTCAACAGCTATGTGTGGGTCTGTATCCATCTGCACATTACCTGGGTGAGACATGACAAACTGTCCCCTAAATCGGGCCTCAGTCTTGAAGTTGACAACAAGACGTCCTTCATCATTTATTCTCATGCTGGTGGGATACATGGCACCTATAAAAATAATCACACAAATAATAACATCAGGCTGTCATTAGCATTAATCATGTCTCTAAATTAATTTGTATTCATGTCTATTTGAATTCACCATGTATTAAAACTTCTGATGCATGTCCAATAGGGCATTATGGCATATAGGCTATCTATACTACCTTGTAGCTCAGCCTCTGGTGGGCTTCCAATACCATCTTGCCATAAGATGGCAGTGTCATACACGAAGGTGAGCCGCAGCTCAGAACGTAAGTCAAAATGTTGCCAGCCGCCAACCGCGACGGGAGAGTGAAAGACATAGGACACAAACAGAGGAACCCGCAGGGTTACATAGGACTGAACCAGATTCAGCACCTACAGACACAGGTAAAGAAAAAAACACCAAATGTAGTCTAACATTTAATAAGTATAATGTTTCAAAATATTTCTATTTAAAATAAATCCTGTTCTTTCTAGTAAAGAATTAAAGAATCCCGAGGAAAAAAAAAACAGTTTATACAGAAATATTAAACAGCACAACTGCTTTAAAATGTTTTTAGAAATGTTTATTAAGCGTCACATGTGTCGGATCCATGTGACACTAAAGACTGGAGAGATGACTGTGGAAAAATCAGCTCTGCCATTTACATTTTAAAATAAATATGAATGGAAAACATTTTTTAAATTGTTTTCTATTCTTATATATTTCCAGTGACTTCCCAATATTACTGTATTTTTAAATGCAGCATAAGAGTCTTTCAAAGACATTAAAACAATCCTATCGACCCCAAACTTTTTGAATGAACTTTAAACGAGCATAGCTTTGAAGGATCTCTCCTGAAATCTGATTCCTGAAATACCTGTCCATCTGTGCCAATTGATCCCCCACAGTCATTCAGCAGCTCTGACATGTCGTAGTAGCTACTGAACTCCCACAGACATGCCTCCAGGTTAAGGTTGCGGTAGAATCGAAGGGAATTGGTGCTACGCATGGCCACGCTGTACTGGTACGGTGAAGTCTCGCCAATAATTTCTGGGTTCTTTGTGGCGTCAGTGATAAAACCATGCGCTGTTTGGATCTCGTTGAAATCCAAGAGGTTAGAGCAGCGGTGGTTTCCTACTCGTGTGCCATCTGGACTAAGGGTTAACTCAAAGTTTGAAAGGGGACGTGTGGAGATAACAGGCAGCATGCCTGAGGAAAAACAATGCAGTTTAACATCCTGGATTTTGTAGACATTTTGATTGATATTTACTTACTCAATATGGCATTGTTTGTGATGGAGGTCGTCACTCACCATCCATGTGCGGCATAGTAACTGTGAGTTTGATCAGATTGGGGTAGTCAGGGTCATCTGGGCCAGTGTAACGGATTTTAGCTGAGAACGGCTCAGCACCCACTGTTCCAGGTATACGAGGCTGACACAGGCCTAAGGATAGCAGACACCTTGATTTAAACAATTCATTTTCCTGGAGTCCTGGACATCCCAGAAAATAGCACAAAACCTTGTGCTTTGTTTAATTTGGTATTAGTAATTCTTAAAGAATTGAGCAGCAATCCAAATTGTGGTAGTTACAAGAGCCTCACCCTCCTCTCGGCTGATGACCACAATGGGCGAACTGAGCTCCAGCCCAGCATCTCCATTGGCGTTGAAGGCTCGGGCTGCACACTGTACACGGGAACCAGCCTGGAAGTAGATGGAGTCCAAAGTGACTGACTTGGTGTTAGTGAAGAAGGTGTTGGTATCCACTTCTCGCATGGGGCTGGTGACTCCATCCGGCCCACTGGGGGCACTAACCATCCAGCGGTACTGAGTTAGTGTTTCATTTATGTTCTCCACTGAACAAATGGATCCAGTCTTGTCAAAGTCAAAGTATTTGGGATTGCAGGCCTGATGGGACACAAACACAAGCAAACAATCAGAATTATAATTTATATTTAATTATAATTTACTTGCATATATAGATTCCACCCCTAATGATATTTGGAGTCATATTCCAGAACATTCAATTACTGTTTCAATTACTTCATTAAGACCATCTCCCTTTTTGCAAGGTGTATTTTACTGTTTCTTTATTCGCCATTCTCTTTATATGGTAAATGAAAGGGAAACGGTAAGAATAAAATGAAACAAATTTCAAAAAGTGATTAACTGAGAACATCATTGGCATTACTCACCGTGACACACACAACAGGATAGCCGGTTGGAGGGTGGGGATTGTCTTTAGCCCGAATCGTATCATCATACAGCAGCAACGACACCACCTGAGGCACTGCTGGGAAGGTGACATCAGCCACACTATTCATCTCTTCGATGTACACAATAGCCTTACTCATCTACAGAAAGTAGGAGAGGAAGAAAACATCCATTTAGACTATCAATACATTTTAAGGAACAATGTAAAACCTGCAATAATGTAAGCAACAGTAAAAGGACTATCCACTCACTGTGACCCTTTTTTCCCAAGTATTATATGAAAAATGTATTACAAAATGTTGCAATTTTCTACCTAAGAATATTCTATTTTTAAAAACATTTCTTTTTTTTTAGAATTAGAACTGCCATACAATCAAACAATGCCAAAGACTGAAGTTCTTAAAGCTACACTGTGTAACTCTTTTAGTTTATTCTTAAAAACACTTAGTTCTTTCAAAGATATATGTGCTCAGTAATGTATATTTACTTCGTTCAAGTAATAGTATTCTCGTGAGTGTATAATATGCCATTGAATATACATACAGGTAAGGGGTTCTAATGTTGGTCGCCATTTTGCCCCTCCATCTTGAAAGTACATTAGCCAAAGAGGGACATAACCGTTAATTCAAGCTTCAGCTTTCGCAGTTACGTTTGAGTTAACACTCATGGACGAGGTCGAGCTGGAAGCCATGTTAATCTTGGACTACATTGGCCACCGTAGGAGTTAAAACGAAATCGGAATTGAGAGGAACAAAAACTAATATTCACTGGATGGTTATATACATACATATACTTATACTTATATTATAGTACTTGTCTAAGTAGTAAACTCTATACATATTTTAAATGTTCAGTCAGAGACCTGGCTTAATGTGTGACGCTTATGTGCGGGTGACCCAAGTTCAAGCTATCGTCTCAATTTCATGTCATGCCGTCTCTCAGGCTGTCACTTTCAATAAGATATGGCAAAAAGCACCCCTCTAAGACCTTGGCTGTGGATTGTGTACATGTTCAATAGGTCTGCACGATTAATCGAAATGAAAATGAGTGACTATTTTCTGCGCAGCCTTTGTGATTTCATAATCATCTTAATGTTAATTGTGATTAATCGTGCAGCCCTAATGTTCATTAACACTGTTTAAGTCACTGACCGTTGAGGCCCATTTACATCATACAGACTCCCTTGAAAGAGATTGGAGACAGCGATTGGCTCTTGCTGACAGAGGCAGCTGCTGCATGGCTATTTTAGCTAGAGAGGCACGTTAGCGTGTGTCTATGCGAGTGTGCGAAGTGGCGTCTTTGGGGGTATTTTTAGAGATGATGGTCTCTGACCTGTGTCTCAGCCACCATATACTCGTCAGGCTTCATGTGAACAGTGAAAGCCTCACGGATCTCTCTTTGTCCATCATAGAGAACCTGGATCTCCACCACATGCTCTGTCTCACCCTCCTTAAATTCCACATCTGTAGGGACATACAAACAAAGATGTACAGAGACGAATTATAGATAACCATTCTGCTTATCCGTTACTGTAATTGTATCAGAAATTCGCTCCTTTTGTTCAGGATTTTCCATATTTTTGCTAGTATTATGGCATCTCATGGGATTTCTATTTTGTAGCCTTCATGAGTCTTCTGCTGACCTTGAGAAAGGGGATTGTAGTCCTCTCCTGATGTTGCAGAGCCGTCCTTGGTGTGAATTCTCACCACAGAGACCTTGGAGGTGTCACCCTGACGCAGGACAGGAATCTTCACTACAGCAATCTCTCCAGGAAGTTGTGGCTCTCTAACACTGTATTTGATCTCAGCAAACCTGATGATGGACTCTGAAGTGGAGAAGGAGTTTTGTTTTCTGTGAGGCATCATGACTTTTGCATAAACATACACGCCACTTTCAAGTCAAGTGGCATGTTATCTATACGCATTTTGTGTTATCCGTGTCTATCCGTGTATGTCTATGCCGTTAAATGTCCGAGCGATTCCGTGTTTATGTACACACAGCAAAATGTAGATCTACATCTTGGGAGTGATTTTTTTTTTCCTAGGATGGTAGGGGATGAATCATAAATGGTATTAACCCCAGTGATGGGTAGGTTTAGGGACAAGGTTGGGGTAGGTCATATATTTAAATTTACGGCAATGTAACGTTAAGTCAACAGCGTTCATAAACACGCTGAAACGTGATTATGCGTGTTGATAGCACGCCAAAAATGGAAATACGAATTGGTGTGCCATACGCCATTTCATGAGATCAGTCTGAAGAACATATTGCTGATGTTTGTCAAGAATAAAGAGGAAAAATATACTCACTATCCTTATGGTCAGTGATGGTGACCAGAGCTTCTTTTTGTTCTCCTACTGAAGCTCCATATGGTGATTTGCTCTTAGCTGTCCCCAAAACCAAACGGAACTCCTCATCCTCTTCATGAACCGTGTCATCCACTAAAGTCACAATACATGGCTTCTCAATCTCCCCTGTAAACAAAGAGATGCAAAAGATGAGCAAATCATGCAGACATGAATGAAAGTCTGGTCCAGGAACATGTTGAAAAAGAAAAAGAACCTGGTAGGAACACTATCATGGATGCGTCAGTATTGGGTCGTTCATCATAGTCCATCATGACTTGGGCAGATCCCTGGCGAGTGTAACAGAGGACTGTGGACCTCTGACTAATGTCGCCACTGCGGTATACTATCGCCTTCAACTCTCCATCAGCCTCATCCACCTTGTACTCTTCCTCCTTAAACTGGACTTTGGGTACTGCAGAAATACCCAGAAGTTAAAAACAGCCTAAACAGTTTGCTACTGTTTAATGTCCTCTGAAACTTACTTATTTATTTCATATATTAATCCTTTACTCACAGTCTGTGACAGTGTCATTAATAGTAATGACAGTTTTGCTTGGCTCTCCAAGGACTGCGCTCATGGGCATACGCAGCACCAGCTCAAACGTCTCTGGCCCCTCCAGCTCTGGCTGGCCCAGGTCATCAAGAATAGTCACACGGAAAGTCTGCATGGACACACCTGGAGCAAAGTCCAGGTTACGGCTGATTCCCACATAATCTAGACCCGCTGGACAGGAGAGGGTGAGGGTGGGGGAGACATAGTATTCAGATTAAAATGTCAAATAAAATGATTGGTTAATAATTACCTGAAATATTTTATTTTGTTTGACCAAAAAATAAAATATCAGTAATTGTTGTTTTTGTCAACTCTGACACTCTTTACCTTCTGCTGAAACAGGGTCACTCTTCCTGGAACGGACTGTGACGGTGGCTGTCTTTGAAAGGTCAGTTCCAGTCCTCCACACTTTCACCTCCACATAACCATCACTCTCATCCACCGTGTACTCGGTCTCCCCAAAATAGAAAGATGGCTCTGTACCAAAAGGGATTTTTTTTTAAATGATCTATGTAATAAAGTGTACAAACTTTGAATGAATTTGAATTTGCTTTAATGACAATAGAACTTACGCTAATATACCTCAACAAGTTGGCACAAAACCTGGTAATCCATATCATCTAGAAAACCAGTTATAAACAAGTTCTAACAATTGTTTTCAAATAGAAATCACCAGACTGTATAAATGAAATGTCTAATCAGTCCAACCTGATCTCACGGCAATTCGTACGAATTTTACGAATTTTTTATTTTATTGAGAGTCTCTTAAGTTTTTCTTTTATTTGTTGGTTTCACAACCTGACAGTCAAAGACAGGAATAGCCTGAACTATATTGTGAATATCTGCTCTAAAATCATTGGTGTGAAACAGAGAGACCTCACTGTTTTCTGTAACCAACAAATAGTTCGGAAGGCAGCGAGTATCCGCTGTGGCAGGCGAATTTTCTCTGTTGCCCTCAGGGCGTCGTTATGCGCTTCCCGTATGTAAGACGAACCGCTACTCCAACTCTTTCATTCCTTGTGCGATTAAACTATTAAACGCTAGGTAGGGTTTTTGAGTTTTTTTTAAATGTGCACATAACTGACTGACAGTATGTTGTGAATATTGTGTCTGATTGTTCTATGTATTCATGCTGCTCTAAATGAATTGCCCCTTGTGGGATTAATAAAGTTGACTGAACTGAACTGAACTGAACTGTACCAGGTGGCTAATTCGTAACAATCCGTACGACCTCACTCGTACGAGTGAGTAAGATTTTTGCTAAATCGCACATATTTTACGAGTTGTTCAATTCGTATGAATTTGTACGAATGATATACCCATGACCCCGCCCCTAAACCTACCCATCACGTGGGTTTAGACAAATCGTTCAAAGAATTTGTATGAATTAGACACCTTTTAATCACTCGTACAAATTCCTACTAATTGGTCGTGAGATAGCGTTGATCAGTCACACAAGACTTACCCATGTTTATTGAAAGGGGATTTGCCTATTTGATTTTTAAAAAATAAAAATATTTTAATTGAATCAGAAAGTAAATTATAGACTTTTTTTGTTTCAAATATCAAATTTCAAATTTTATATAACTTTTTTGTTATTATTTGTATTATTAATTAAATATTACTGTTATGATTCTTTTAAATTGTATTACTATTGAGCTTGTACTACTATTACTATATGATTTGTGATGCAGATGTGACGTTAAATGATGAATAAATAAATCCATGACATCGAGGTGACCTATAAAAGTATGAGATATTAAGTATATCTTACTTATTTTACTGCATAATGATTATTTATCATTGAGAGGTGCCATTTTTTTTCCTCAGAATTGTTAAGTCATGTTTTGTCTCACACAGAGTTGTTCTGACCCATTGGTGTGACAGCACAGGAAACCTACCATCATTTTAAATATCCTGTCTGAGTGCCGAAACCAGACTGTTGTGTCTACTCCAGTCAAGATGCACTTGGTGAGTGTTAATGTTTGTGTGTGTGTGTGTGTTTGGGAGGTCAGAGAGGCTCCCAGAGCGATCATGATAAATTAATTCAGAGGGGATAGGCCCTTCCAGGGTGGGGGTAGAGGCCGTAAGTTTGAGGGTCCATACAAAAAAAAAAGACAAGAGTAGTGACACCTCCATAGACACCAAGTCAGAGAAACAACAAAAAATTCCAACTCTGGCTGGCATCCAGACCCCCCCCCCTCCCCCCACCCCAAAAAAACTACACACAAATAGACCACTGGGCCCTTCCAGACCTACCAAGACGCTAAGCTACAATAAGCACATTAATCCTCAATTGCTTCTTCAGAAAAATAAGGTCTAGGCATGTACATTATTTACACACATACATTTTGAGGTAATATTCTTAATTGTGAAGGGTGGTATTGCAGTTGGTGAAAGACTGATTTTATGAGTAATGAAAAACACTCTGAGGATGATATTTGCTGAGAATTAAGAGATGAAACGATATTTAAGATATTCATTTTAAGTTGAATAATTTCAAACAGAAGGCTGTGCTTTGAAAGGCAAATTCCTGGATGAATCTTTGAACGTAATTCACAGATGGCAAACTACGCTCTTGTTTGGACCATGCTCCTTTAAAGTAATGCACACAAATCCTAAATCCTGAATGGACAGGATGTTCACAAAGCTCTTTCAGTGCCCTCACTGAGGTTTATGGGCCATTAAAAAGGTCATAGGGGCCTCAATTGTGCTCTCTCAACTTGTTTTGGGTTATCGTGTTACCATGCTGCTAAGGACAACAGTGGTGTGGCCACAAAGTAAAGATGTATCATTCTGTGGCTACCTATCCTTTTAAAGTGTGAATAATAAAAAGAACATTTGTAAAGAACGAACAGGTGGGGCATGTCAGTTTAACCTCACAACATGAATGAGATACTGTAGTTTTGTCTTTATGAGGATGAGGATGTATTTTTTTTTTTAAATAATGCCATGAAAGAGTTTGTGGTTTAGAGAAAATGCACAGATCAGAATATGGTTGGCCTGACTGTAGTTTGACTACTATACGTATATGTATAGGCTCAACAATTATTTATATATATGTATATATATATATATATATATATATATATAAATCTTAAAATTTAAAATAATTAGGTAGCATTTTATTTTACAGTCCTTTTTCCCATGTACCTACTTATTATAGTCATTATAATAACTGAGTGGTACTACTAACTCTGAACCTACACTATCACTAAACCTAACCTTAACCCATGTAGTCACCTTATATTTCCCAGTATTTTCTTAGGTGTGTACACTGTGAGTGCATGTATTGTAAAATAAAGTGCGACCAAAAATTATATTTCAAATAAATGCTGATCTTTTGAACTTTCTATTCATCAAAGAATCCTGAATAAAATTGTATATATTAGAAGAGTATTCAGATGTTCACCAACTCACCATCATCACTATCGGGCAAGATGACCACTTTGGCGTTGGGGAACTTGGCACCCACTTGTCCACCCATGGGGATACTGAGTGACACATTGAAGCTCTCCTCTTCCTCATAGAGGGAGTCATCAATAATTATGATGCGACACGACTTCTCCCGCTCATCTTTATCAAAGCGCAGAAGACTGGTGTGGTCCTCGGGTCTTGTGATATAGTCTGAATAGGAAAGCACTGTGCTGGGGGTGGTTCCGGTTGCACTGCCTGTATAGAAGGATTTTGTGGGGGGGGGGGTTTTGTACAAAAAGACTTTATTCAAGTACTACAAATGTACAGCCGAAGCAAGGTCATGTAAGTTCCTCAGTTGTAATAGGTTATGAGTCTTAAACTAAAACTTTGTCACACAATATTTAAATAATCGTGTAATTAGATATCTGTATGATTTAAAATTATTTCATAATATTAGACAGAAATAGTTCATCTTCGTTAATCTTACCTTGTTGTGTGTAACAAATAACCATTAGTTCCTGGCTGGCGTCTCCTGATCTGCGGACCGGGACTAGTAGTTCTCCTATATCCTCTTCAACATGATATTCTGCTTGAGGGAAGAACACTGTGGACTCTGAGAAAGAGATGAAATAGATGCATTTCAATGCATAAATTTGGATGTACTGTATATAATTGTAGGATATATACAATATACAGTAAATATAAGCCTAAGTAGCCAAAAGTAAATGAACATGACCATGTTTTTGCTTGTTGTCCATTTAATTTCAAAACCATTGGCATTAATTGGAAGTTGTTCCTCCCTATGCCATTGTGGTGCACACACTCTAGAAGCAATTATATAGGTATGTGTTTTACACTATATGCACAAAGTAGGAAATCATTAGGCATTGCATAATTACCATCACCAGGATCCACAATCTCCACAGTGGCTGTAACAGGGTATTCAAGAACAGCCATCACTGGTTCTGAGAGATGGATTTCAAACCTCTCTGAAGTTTCAAACTCTTGGTCGGTAAATATCTTCACCTTCCAGGTAGCGGATGTTTGACCAGGATTAAACTGGACCTGCTTCTGAGATTTTCCACGGAAGTCTTTGTCCTGTTTTGCTGTGCCGTCCTTGGTGGCAATGCCTTTGAAATAATAATAATAATTAAAAAAAAAAACATTATTTGGAGATCTATTGGTATTGATTATAGGGTAACACTTCCTAGTACTTACGTGTACTTACAGTGTACTTACCTAGAAAGTACTGGCTAATACAGTATAAGGTAAGTACTTGGGTTAGGGGTGGGTTTAGGGGTAGGTTCAGGGTTAGTACATAGTTATTACCCAGTAATTGTAATTACTATAATAAGTACATAGTATGTACATGGGTAACAGGACTGTAAAAGGAAGCGTTAATGACTAAACCTGTGAGAAGTTTAAGATGTCTGTTGACTACTTAATAACCATTTTAAAGATCCGTAAAAGGCTTTGGTACAATTTAAGACATTGGTATTTTCACAGCCCTTTAACTGTGACTTACAAACACGGAGGGACCAACTTGTAACCGCAGCAAATAAACATTGTGTATCTCTAAATATATACAATGACAATGAAGGAGGTTCTGTTTGGTTTTTTATAGGATTCTAGTATATAATGAACTCTATTGTTATCTCCTCAAAAGAAGTCTTGGTCACAAACGATTATGTACTGAACATTTTGTTTGAAAACAAATTAAACCTCAGCATGTCCTGTTTATTGTATATATAACAGGGTAACTCAGGGTATAACAGGGTAACTCCTTGACTTTGATAAATACTTACTGACAAATGATGTCTCTCCCAAGTATCCCCGACGTTTGAGGGTGACTTCCAGAAACTTTGCATCCTCATCCACAACATAGTATTCCCTTTCCAGCGATATCCAAGCCCAATTCAGACGGAAAGGCTGTGTCTTCAATTTGTTGCCACCTTTTTCAAACAGAGAAAAGCACAATGAGATGAAGCACAATGAAAAAAGACAAAGTGTGTATTTGAGCTCCTTGAAACACACAATTCAATAGTTTTCTAATGATTTCATCTCGTTCAAGTTCAGAATAGAGAAAGAAAGAAGGGTCAAAATGAGCGCAATTTGATCTTGAGTCCTGCTTGTAAATGTCCTGGGGTGCTTTTGTTTTCTAGTGACACTCAACACCCTTTTTTGTCTTTCCTTCATTACTACTGTAAAATTAAGACACAATATATGTTCACACAGTCTTCTTTTTTTTTACAACTTTTGTTGGTAAATGAATGAGATTCAAGAGAAGTGAGTCCAACCAGGTGTCAGGTTAGTGTTGAAGGCCAATTCCATGATAGTGTTAAAGTTGTGGAATATTGTAGTTGGTGCAGATAAACACAAACGATGGAGGGTTTTGTTACCACTTCCATCACTAGCCATGAATACAGCAGCAGGAACAATAAAGAAGATCTGACCGTGTGTCTCCAAGACATTTATGTGCTACACTTACTGTTAGTGTGTGCTCAATATTCCAACTATAGGCTAATATTCAAGTCAAGATTGGAACATAATAGATATTGCGTCGACATTTTAACTTTTTTTTTTCTATAGAGCTATGAAATATATTTTTCAGCATTATTCTAGCAATCTTTAATCAAATAATACATACTTCAGTGACTAATTATCATTTTGAGTAATCAGATTAAAGTATAATCGGATTAGTCGCTCTCCATGGACTAAATGATTTAAGCAGCAAAGAGATATAAGCTTGAATCTTGACTGACTGAAGTAGGATAAAGAACTGTAAAGACTTTGAAAGGATCCTCAAACCCATCTTGCCATAATCCATGCTACCCCGTGACTTTGATTATCCCTAAAGAGAAAGGGTATGTTACATTCTTGGACACTATTTCTTGGTACAAGCTGTTCTGATTTTCTACAGCTGGAATTTGAGTCATTGATGACAAAAACTTGGACTCAATTTTAACAAAATTTAAATTTTAAATGTAAAACCAACCTGAAAGTAAAACTGGCAGTTTGTGTGCAAAACATGACCCAGTTCATTGGTATTGCTCACTATTTTGTAGTTTTTACACACCGTGCTGAACACATGAGCTTCTCTTTTGATGCGAGCATGTGCAGAAACAATATTGCAGTTGAAATATATGCAATATATGTAAAAAAAAAAAGGTTTTGTTTATATGTTGTGAGATTGATTTATAGTAATATTCAATAAAACAGAATCATCATATTGCCAAATGGCCATCATCTTTACAACCCTCCTCAGTTTAGGAAACGGCGCAGCCTGACATGACAGCATTGGCCTTGACCAAGCTCAAGTGTCTGACAGCTCTGCCTAAAAATACAGAACTCGTTTATCATTTTTATCTTTGCCCTAGATTGCTGAAGGCCCATTAAAATATTAAAAGTGATTGACAGAGAAGATGTAAGGGAGCCTTATACAAATTAGATGTTTTATCTCTTGTTAAGCTTTCACAGGAGTGTTAATACTGTGCATATCTCAGGAACATTACTAATGCACCAATTAGAAAGCTGAACTTATTAACACATTAAAAACAAGATGATTTATTAAACAAATGCAAAATGCAAAGAAAATGAAGCATGTATCAAAGGCTTAATGGAAGGTGAACCATATCGTAGCTCAGCCAAGTACCTTTTTCAGGAGACAATTTTCTCAGGCATACTGCCCAGTTTGAGTATGAGCTGATATTGAGCTTAGTGAGGCTGTATCAGAGGATTATCAAATGGACAACATGCAGACAGAAGGC